CATTCCGTACTTGTGGAACAGCTTTTCAGCATGTTTTTAAATAATCAGCGACTGATCAAATATACTTAATTTTCTTAAATGTTACTTTCAATAGTCCAATAATATTATGCCCGGCACTTCTTCACTGTAACAACCACACTTTTCTCACCTTGCAAAAGGTGTATAGACTAGGTGGCAAAACGAATTTGAAACACAATTAAACCAGGCTGCTGAAGATGGTATTTAAATCTCCTATCGATCTGGGTGCTGATGAGATAAAATCTCGATGTCGAGAAGCTCAAAATACTTAAGCCCTCACCCTCCGTAAGTCTAGAAGATTGTGCAAACGAAAAAACTGTTAAGAAATCTTCAGAATCCCTTAAGCGCTGGATGAAAGACTTCCTAGTTGGACAGCAACAAAACGTATCGGTTGTCTAGCTGGGAAATTATGCTTAGCAGAGTGCCTCGGTACAGCTTTGGGGCCAGTGTTATTCCTATTGTAAGTACATGACCTTCCTTATCTCCTATCACCATCGATCTTGTTATATGCTGACGATGTCAAGGTATGGAGAGTGATAAAAAAGTTAAGGTGGTAGCTTGGAACTTAAAAATGACCTAGAGAGATTATCTGAATGTTCTCGAATTTGTCAGTTGTTGGTAAATACTTTCAAGTGTATCATGATGCATATTGATCATGAAGGTACGGATACAAGCAAGATGAGTAACATTTAGCTACCTGTTGTTCAGACACACAATATCTTGGATGCCAACGTTAGCTCAGACAAAAAAGTTACTGCACACTGCCGTGCATACGCTGTCAGAGGTTTCTAGAACCTTATGGTCAATACGCATGGCCTTTAGTCATGTCGACGCTAACACGTTTTTCACTTTGTATACAGTTTTCGTACATCCTGAACTTGAGTACTGCATACAAGCGGCTAGCCCGTCTGCCTAGACCATCTTATTTTCTCTTGCATGTCCCATATCCGTATGAACTTTTTATAAATAGTTTGTGGCCACAGTCTGTCTACTCATGGCTTGCGGAGCATAAGTTTGTCATGGGTGTTCATATAGGACTCTATGAATAAAAATTAGTCCGTTTAACAACTTCCATAAATAATAGTTATCCCAGAACTTACTCTTAATGTCCAGTTTGCCTGGTCTCTCTTCTTGAGTTTGTATGGCATGATGTTTCTTCGAGCGTAGCTCTAGAGAGAGCTCATTCCATCTTATTCAGCCCTTTCAGTGAATGAGGATAAGTGGTAAATATGTGCAAAATGCAATCTCTGGGTGGTATGACTGCCTTCTAAAACAAGGTATTGGGATTTTAATGCTGATATCCTGAGAGGTGAATTTTTTTGAAACTGAATTCCTGTGAATATTGTTTCTGGAGTGCCATCCGCCCTCCAGATACTTTAAACTTTTAAGGCTGTAGTGCCGTGCTTCATTAATAGTTCACTTCGATAACCGTTATTATACCAATGTTAACGGTGTATATAATCAGAAGGCAAAGGGAAGCGGCAATTACATTTTTATTGATAAATGATACAGACCAGAAAGTTATGAGCAAATGAGTAAATGTTAGGGAGCGAAACACAAACGACATGCATTGGAGATGACTGGTATGCCAACTCGAGAGCGAAGCAAAAATAATGCGTATTGGAGATGGCGAGGAAGCCAACTCATTTTAAGCAAGCATTAATCAACATTCGTAGTCAGACAAAAATGGATGACAGACATATTATGAATAAGATACGAAGTGTGCACACATATACGCTCATATAAAAAGTTGTCAAGGTTAATAAGCGAATAATAAACAAGATAAAAATATGACTCATAATGTATATGTGAATTAGCTTGGCCAGTAGCTAGAATAAAGTATATGGGCTTAACATATAAACTGATAGTACAAGGCCACTGAAGTGCCTTCTGATTAGTCCATAATACAGAACACTCACGTAGAAGGTATAGGCTGTATTTATGTACGTGGTCAAGAACAGCTAGTCCATATTTTCTGGTATCGCAGTAGTTCTTTTAGGACTTATTCATGATCCTCATGCCATATTTGATAAGATATTGCCTGTCATCAGGCATCGCATTTCGCAAGACTTCACGTGTGTAAGTCTCGCTAACAGTCGCATCTGATATGTGCGTATCCGGGTTCGGTGACATCCTCAGGAGAGCTAACTAGGATTCAATCAAGGTGCTTTATTCAGATGACTAAACGCTTTGCTACACCCTTCTGATCTACTGAATTGAATGTTTTTTATTTTAATTGTGTGAGAGGTTTCCGGTTACCTTCTACGACATCCTCTCAGTCCCAAAAACCTACATATTTCATCTACTGAATTCGGTATAGAGTAATCCTCAACGACCACCATCTCAGGACCACTGAATACTTCAAAAGATCCAATCACATGACTCCGTAAGGCGACTTCCTCACGCAGCATCCGGGACTTACCAAGCCAGGTCATTAAGCCAACGCTGCCGAGCCTCTTTACAAAAATAGGGTGGTATAGATATTTTCGCAGGGGAGTGCTGAGGAGAATAATGTAACTAAGGTGAATCATACCAATATCATGAATTAGATCATTTAGTGCTAATTGCACGAGTCGTACCTCATTATCAAGTCACATGTTGACACCTTCAATACGTAGAACGTATGGACCACATAATTCGTCTATCAGCGGGCTCACTACTGTAATGTCCCCAGTTGAATCCGACTGATGCCCACAAGGAATGAAGATATGTTTACTTTCTTAACTTATTCCGTGTATATCCAGCAAACACAAGCTAACTGAGTTGTCGAAGCTTAGCCAATATTCAGAATAAATCTATGAAAATCACTAAAGTTCTCGAAACTACTTCCTCTATGGCAGAATCCAAGAGATCAGCTTGTACCATGTTTGCCGGTAGTGAGTCTACAGACCTGGCTACTCTAACTAGTAGAAATCCTGTTCACAATCCAGCTCGATGTGTTGTGTCCCTGATTTCCAGATATTTCGCTCAATATTTGTTTCTGAACTGAACGTAGGTTAGTAAAACAGGACTTCTTGAGATATTCTTGATACTCCATGTCATCAAAAGTTACTTCTGGTTCGTCTACATTCTAGAGACCTCGAATTAGTCTTCCGTTTTAGAATGGAGGAGAAAATAATATATCTACATACCCTAAGTAAAGTCAGATAGAACTATTGAAAAGTAGCTGAAAATTCCCACCGTCAAACTAAGGGAAAATGTGCTTCAAGGCTACCAGTGGAAGGCTTACTTACTTACGCCTGTTACCCCTCGTCGAGGAGCATAGGCCGCTCACCAGCATTCTCCATCCAACTCTGTCCTGAGCCTTCCTTTCCAGTTCTTTCCAGTTACTATTCAGCCTTTTCATATCGGCTTCTATTTCCCGGCGTAGTGTGTTCTTTGGCCTTCCTCTTTTCCGCTTCCCTTCCGGATTCCAAGTTAGGGATTGAGTCGTGATGCACATTGGTGATTTCCTTAATGTATGTCCTCAGTGATAGGCTTCTCTTACTAGAATTTTTGTTACATTTTCGTACGATTTTATATGATAAGTAGTCAATATATTCAACTCCCTTCCTTGTGGAATCTTCTGGACAGCACCTATTAAATTTATGTGTGCAAGTTTGGACGTTTCACACATGAAGTACACTTCGAGGAGTTGAACGTAGCCATATTATTGTCTCCCTAACTTTGTAATTAAGTTAAATACTCTCGGATCATCCTAGTTACAAACTTCTTTTCAAAGTTCGTAATCGCCACCCAAGAATAACTAATCGGGGGATACTTTCTGAAGACGGTAACGCACGTAAATTAAAAAGACTCGGGGTCCTTAAACCGAACACTTATTAATATCATTTGGGCATCCCGAAACTTGAGGTAATGAGTGATTTGTACTAGCCTTGAATTGCTTGTGGTGAACGATTATCTAATACCTTGAGTGTAATTAAAAGACATTCATGGTTGAACCTATCAAAGGCTTCGGACTCATAAGATTAGGTGTGATAGTTCATCTATCAACTACACTCAACATATACTTTGCACGAAAATGGCCCTCCCTAAAGCCGTCTCGTTAAAAGGAAAATAAATTTATGGATTGTCGTAAACCAGAGATTGTGTGACATTTAAAGGCAATTAAAAGAAGGGCTACCGCCCAATAGTTTGAAGAATGGATGTTTCAGCCTCCATCGAGGACTAGGATGATGTGCCCAAGCTTTCATCTCACAAGGATCTTGCGGTGACAGTGATTAATGATGTTGAGACCACGTCCCATTGCTGCAAGGTTGCAGCCTATTGGTTTAGAACCATATGGGCTTAAAGACGGACACCCACCAACCTAGATACTGTTATTTTCACCACAGTACCCAAACTTTGATAAGAACTAAACTTGAAATCTGAGTTCAGACAGCAAGCCATTGATGAGAAAGTGACTCGGATATCTTGGAAAGGGAGCAGAGGGAAGTCACTTGTGCAGTTCCAAGGGTCCGTGGTTTACTATACACAGAGAGGTTTTAGAAGCCAGACCTATCTACTCTATCCAAACTCAGGTTGAGAGGCGATCTGATTTTGATGAATAGAATACTAAGAAATGATTTAAGACCTGATACATCTCGTTATCTTTCTATTAGATTAGAGAACGAACAAAATACCAATGGCATACACGTTATCATAGCGAGTTATCAATCCTTGGATCCTGTTACATGAAGCAGTGGTGTTTGCACCTTGGATAGAACCATCCAAAGGAAAACTAGCAACTAACAGGAGCATAATAATAAAGGAATAACATAGACTGTATGCATTCTCTCCTTACTACACAAATCGAAATGTAAAAGATGTAGTTCGAGATGTCCTAGCCCAATACTTGAATTACTATAGAATGGTGATTATACTTGTAACATAAGCATGGATTCATATTGCATTTAATTTCTATTAGTATCATCTCGAAAGATACGGCTTGAATTTATAACGTCTTTTGAATGAACTACAGTTTGGTTTCTAATACCACTAGCACTATTTCAAATAGTATCAAGGTCGCTGGATGGACCTACTTGCTAATTTTAATGACTTAGAAGAGTGTTTAATATCAGATGATCTTTTCGAAAATTACTTCAATTTTTTCTTGTCCCTTCCGGTTAGAAAGACATTCTTAGCATAAACAGTATATTTATAACAGGTGTTTTCGCTTAAGTTACAGTACAATCGACTAAGTGGTGAATTCACCCTCACGGATTCGTATGAACTTGCTATTAAAGAGTCACCACGTTTGGGTCTTTCGGAAGAAGATCGAGAACGCGTTATAAAGTGGGCTGAATCGGAACGTCTTCCATACTTTATGCGGTAACTTACTTCTTAGTAAAAATATTTTCAACATTTCCTTAAACAGAAGTGATACTTACCGGGAACTACTACTATGCAAGTCCTTGGTAGCCCCACTTGAACTGAATTCTGACCTCATCGATTATTGGGAGCCGTTTAGTGCAGATTTAGCTAGCACTTTAGATTGTCATGCTGGAATTAGTAGGCATACTTATACTTCCTGGACGACAGATCTCAGCAATTACGATGATGAGACAGAAAGCAGTTATGATTACAGTTCTGAAAAAGTTAGTGTGTTTTGCTTGATCCAAGTGTATATATAAAGAAAATACTGTAATTTTTAATGAACTACACTAATGACCGGTACTCGTTAACTTTACGTAGGTTTATATCAGTTTGTTGAAATAGCTCTCATTTATCGTGTTTTTCTTCAGTCTACAGTAATACGCTACCAGAAATAAATACATGGCACTATTTTTTGGCTTTTAGTACGATGATGACTTACTTTCACCCTGAATGTTTAAACATTAGTTGCTTTCATGAATAACACTGGTAGAGGATTTCACCGTGTTACGGTGCCATAGCAAGAATTAGCTTTTGTGCTCAGGCGATTTTCTTCGTTTGCAAGTTCTTTCATAATATCTAATCACTCAGTCAAATGTGATTGGGAATCACTATCGAGTCTTGTAACAACAAAGTCCAACTGAAATTTAACACATCCACCAGACTAAACTATTTAAAAATCTAAACTAATAAGATTAATATATTGTTTGGACATGAATCAAGTAACAAAAATGCGCTGTAATTGCAAAATAGCTGTCCTAATTGTTTTATATATCATTATTACCTTGAGTGATTATAAAGAATGCTTTTGCAGAGAAGTAACTTGAAAATCTGGATTTCCGTAATCTATTCTACGTCTTCTCCGTGAGTTTATCTAGTGTTTGTCCGTTTCCTGATTGGGCATAAACTCCGTACCGTCAAAATCCTGATAGTGTACTTCATCAAATGTAAGTTATGCATCCCTAGATCGTTAGTATCTAGAATTCGCACCATATATTCTCAAACATTCTTCACCAGAATCCCCGTGGATGGTTGAAGGTCACTCCTATGATAATATCTAACCCCCACAGACTGCAAAGACCGCATATTCGGACAATAAGTACTTCCATCCAATAATTTTTGAGGAGTCTGTTTCGTTGGAGAATGTTTGGAATTCCTAAATCGCAGCAAGAATGTGTACACTCCCTTAATCAATTCATCTGATGTTATGGCAGCAACTAAATTAACAACAGTTTCAAACGCCTTGAAAAAATTGTCCTTCTGACCGTCAAAACAAGTGTTTTTGAAAGCAATAAACATATATTTTTGCCCTATCTCATTGAACCACGTGGAAACTGAATTTGTGGCAAAATGAGAGTCATAACCAGTCACTAATACCATAAGGATCTCTTTCCGACTGAACTGTTTTCCAAATTATTGGATTGAGAGGTTAGTGCTCGCTAAAGTCATAAAGAATAATTCAGCCCAATTAGAAAAGGAACTAATAACAACACGTACATAATATCCACCGAACAGTGGACTATAATAGTCTGTATGAATTCTCTCCCAGATGATACTGGTCATCAGGTCTACTGTGAGGGATGATCTTTTGTGTCATGACATTTTTCACAGGTGTTTGGTGTGCAACGACTTGATAAAATAGACAGGAAATCCATGTTTCATATCATCGTTTCAATCTTTTTGTACAGCATTAAGTAAAAATCTAAAGGGTCAACGAGTTTCCGCAATAAGGTTTAACTAACTGACTGGAAAACACTGTATTGATCAAGTCAGAAGTATCCACAGGTTTTTCTTGCAATGGATTTTCAGACATTTAGTCCACGTGTTGGATTTGTTCAGCACTTATGTGTTAACTGGTTTGGTTATAAACATTTGCAGTAACATCCTTTAAAACATGATGGGTGGAGAATGTGCCAAAAACGTTCCGGGATGATAAATGATTTCTAAAACTTCACAACCTAAAACAAAAGTCAGTTGCTTTCCAAATAAACATTTGCAGGAATGCTTATCAGCCCAAAATACAGCTAATACTTCTCCCCGCATTTGAAAGTGATATTATTTAGCCACAGTATTCTCCCGTGAAACACAGATTACTGGTCTACTCCCCTACTTTAAAACTCTACCTTTACTCATGAGAGATGAATCAGTAACAAGTACAGAAAGTAGACCATAAGATGGAGCTTAAAGTGAATCACTCTGACTTTTTAGCACAAATTTTGTTCCACATTTTATTTGAACGACTTGTATGTTGTAATTTGAGACAGACAAGAAGCACAATAAGAGTGATTGGAAATGAAACGAGGATAATATTAAAGTAGACTTAGAAATGAGTGTAATTCTGCAAGGGATTTTGAAGATGCTCCTTTCATAAGCGAGGTTTTCTGCTTCAGGCCTATTTTAAAACTACTGTCATCAAACAAATATTCAAGCTGTTCAAAGATAGATACACAGAATAAATACTTATTTGAATATACAGGAATGTTCTGCTCAAGAAGACGATGCAATGAGACGATAGGTCTCTGATAATGCTTATTTTGATAAACGTCAACACCGTCGAGGTAACCGACCATATTATTCGTCAGCCCTTGATAAATAGCTAGAGAACAACTTTAATCATACGGAAAGCAGTTCTATTTGAATAGATCAAGAGATTTGTTAATCGTTATTAAAATGGATAAAGATTGATCTAAGGGAATTCGAAGACAGAAATCTTTTAAATCAACTTTCAAGGATGCTTAAGAACCATGAAGTCGATTAAGAATATCTTCAACTTCAACCGCGGTGTGCGTTTGCTTTAACAAACAAGAGATCGATGTTAACCTGCAATCGCCACATTTTCTAGGGACTTTACCATAAGATTTCAGAGATGTAACAATCAAAATGCCCCATGCTCACGACTGAACCGAAATAATTTCTTCCGTCACACAAATTATTAAGTGCCTTGTGAACTTCTTCTCGAACACCATGAGGAATTCATTCGACTTTTAAGACCGGATAACCTTCCATCTGAAGTTTTATAGGCTAAATTCTCATCTCTCCACTCCTTTGGTATATTCGGCTATCAAACCTTTAGGTAAGGCGTTAGGATTTTCCTTCGAAGCCATTAAAAAACTCACTTTAATTCTTTTCAAACTTTCTGAAATCGGTATTAAAAGTCCCACTTTGCTTACCAAAAACTCACAAAACATGAATGAAAAATTGTTATTTCCAATTAATAACTCATAACACCCTCCTAGAAGCAGTTTGTACCCAGTAATCCGCAATATGGAGCTTTAGTTGGTCTTATTACAACATTTGCATATAAAGACTGTGAGTTTTTTTTAATGAGACAAGGGACTATGTACTATGTTGAGAATGAAGTCGTGGAATATATGAGTGGATGTATACAATCACTTCTGAATGCAGGAAGTAACTTTCAAATTTGTGAACAAAGATATTATATGTTCATTAAAACTAATACCTTAAGATGCGAATGACAAAACTTATTAATACTGGTAGATAAATGAACAGGAATCTTACACATCAACTTGATATGTCCACCTTTGCCACACTTAAAGCATCTAGAATGACGATGTGCATAAGATTTTCGAGAAAAAAGTTAATCACGAGATAAATACTTGCCAAAATTATGCTCATAAGATGGTGGAGAAGATTTGTAGCTCAGGTGGGTGATTTTGATGTAGGTTTGTTTTCTGAGTTGGATGGTTTGGTCGTGAAGATTTCATCGTCCTTCTGAACGACATTATCAGCACAAACTTCAGGTTGAGGTGAAGAGTTTGAATTTCTCCGCATGTGATTCACAACTTGAGAGATACAACCAAAACAAAGAAATAAACAATGACAGATTTAAAGTCAATAAGAACCAATCAACATTGAGGTGCACAGGACAAGCTGTGAATCACATATGGAGAAATTCAAACACTTCACTTCTACCTGAAGTTTGTGCTGATGATGTCATTCAGAAGGATGACGAAAGCTCCACGAACAAACCACCCAACTCAGAGAACAAACCTACGTCAAAAAATTATGCTCAATTTCGTAGGCTTCTTCAAAGTTATTTGTTGAATTTAGAAAGGGATTTGTGGATATTTCAGTATTTTTCAAAGTTGAAATCATGAGTCAATTGAAGCTAGACCACCATCGAAAACCTGGAAGCACTGGACGGCCGTTTCGTCCTACTATGGGACTCCTCAGCAGTGCGCATCCACGAACCCACTCTCGCGGGATTCGAATCCAGGACCTACCAGTCTCAAGCCGAAGCCCTTAACCGATAGACCACTGAGCTGGCATCCAACGGTATTAATGTCTAACTTCAAGTGATCCACGAAGTTGAGCAACCATTCACCAATTGTCTTCAGTGAGTTCCTATCTCACAACGGACGTGGTTGAACTCCACTAGTCACTGCTTCTCACTAGAACTCCAGGACATGTATCTTGAAGTCAGTCACCAGTGAGCATATGATTATATTTAGAAGGGGATTTGTGGAGATTTCGAACATTAGTTGAAGTTAGACATTAACACCGTTGGATGCCAGCTCAGTGGTCTATCGGTTAAGGGCTTCGGCTTGAGACTGGTAGGTCCTGGATTCGAATCCCGCGAGAGTGGGTTCGTGGATGCGCACTGCTGAGGAGTCCCATAGTAGGACGAAACGGCCGTCCAGTGCTTCCAGGTTTTCGATGGTGGTCTAGCTTCAATTGACTCATGATTTCAACTTTGATTATTTGTTGAATTGTTTATTATGTTTCCACGAAGATGAAAATCCTTACTAACTTAGCATGAATTCAAGAGATCCTGATAACAAAATTCCCTATGAAAGATGAATAAGGTATCAGAGATTTTTTACTTGCTGAAAATCAATCTCATTCACTGCCGTAAAATTAATACAACTTGCTTAAATCTTTTAAAGTGAAATTTTAAGTATTTAAATTGAATACCTTTCAAATTTTCGGGATATTTATACTAGCAATTAAACTACCACGAAGTTGAATTTACAGCAGATTCCCATATTTCAATTCGCAGCCTGTTTTGGCAGTTCAAGTAGGAAGCCTCAGAATTTCAAGCCATTTTGAAATACTATTTTATGGGAATTAGATCCTTCTGTATTCAAATTAGTTCACTGAATATGATTGAACAATAACTGTTTGAGAGTTTTTTTTCTGGCAATGAAATTGGCTCGTCCTGGAAATCAACATTTTTAAGTAGGTTATATATACATTGACCAATGTATGTAAGGAAATGGAAGGAAATTTTATCATCCTTGACATCTTTTCTGATCACACATCAGATTTCAGATCACTCCATATGGTCTTCAAAAGCTTTCTCACTGGAATTAGCATCCAAATGCCCAAGAGCCAACACAATCATGACCCTAATAAAATAAATAGAATCCGAATTCGATGTACTAACTAGGAATAACCGGACCTATTCAATTTATACTCGAGTATTCATGAATGGAATAGTATCCAAGTCAAAGGAAATCAGTCAACACAAAAGAAGGTATTGTATTTTGTATCTAAATTGAGTGAGATATGACGTAGACAATAACTGCTAATTAACTCAAACACCACATCATGGTTAAAAAATAAAGACTACTTATATAAAATCTCGAAAATCCGTGATTTAGTAAATAGCAGAGAACTTAGATATTCTTCATTTAATGGGTCGGAAAGTTGATTCACACATATTAATCAAGTCCATAATCAACTGCATTGCAGTGGTCTATATACTAGTTACCATGTTACACTAGACTCTTGACGACATTCTAACGCTATTAACCTTAAGTACTTAAATCGGTCTCTCATATCTCTTAAATAAATATTATAATAAGTTAATGTGTGATCATAATGTTGAAAATTGTCCACACTCTCATTTTAGAAGGGGGTTTTGTGGAGATTTTAGTAGTTTTATATAGTTGAGATCATAAGTCAATTGAAGCTAGACCACCATGGAAAGCCTGAAAGCACTGGATGGCCGTTTCGTTCAATTGTGATACTCCTCAGCAGTGCGCATCCACGATCTCGCCTCGCGAGATTCAAGCCCAGGATATATCAGTCTTGCGCACTAGTACTTAACCACTAAACCTCTGAACCGGCTGGCATCCAACGGTGTTATTGTCTAACTTCAACCAATCCACGAAATTCAGCAACCATTCACCAATGTCTTCATTGAGTTGATATCTCCCAACTGACTTGCTCCATGAAATATTTCCTGGAGTTCTAGTGAGAAGCAGTGACCAGTGCAGTTCAACCTGGTCTGTTGGGAGATATCAACTCACCGAGGACATTGATGAATGGTTGCTCAATTTCGTGGATTGTTTGAAGTTAGACATTAACACTGCTGGAAACCGGGTCAGTGGTCTCGAGGTTAAGCGATCGCTTGCGAGACTGATATATCCTGGGTTCGAATCTCGTGAGGTGGGATCGTGGATGCGCGCTGTTGAGGAGTACCACAATGGGACGAAACGGCCGTCCAGTGCTTTCAGGCTTTCCATGGTGGTCTAGCTTCAATTGACTTATGATCTCAACTATATAAAATTACTGTCATATCACATTATTCTGATGAAATCAATTTTAAGAAAGTGAAAGGAACAAACATCAAGAATTCAGTTTTGGATAAATTAATTAGTATACTTATGATTTATGCTTATTATACAGTTGATTCATGATATTTTATATAGCTTCAACTCGAACCCAACTTATGTACTTGATAAGTCTTATTAATTGAATGCTATATTCGAATCCTAAGCTAATTTCGTAACACCCCAAGCTTGAACTACACAGCGACATGAACACGAGAGAAAAGGCACAAAATATACGAGAAGCACTTGACTCCAAATGTTCATTCATGTACAGAAAATATAAGGTTTTTATAGTATTTGGAGAAGTCCTTGGGTTTTCCTGAAAATTTTAGAATACTACTAAACATAGTAACAGTGTAGTAATCAGTCAATAAGAACTTCTACATGTAATTTTTATTTTCCGCGATATTTCTAGCAAAACTTCTAATCAAACGGTGATTGAATAAAATGCTTCTTAATGTTTCCTGAGCTTGTCATGTCTATTGCGAGTACTTTTTCAGGATCGCCCCAACAGTACTACTCTTACTACTTACAAATTACAATTAAGTAACCATCATTATCTTACTCAGAATTATGTCAATAAGAAAGAGATGATTGCCAGTTTAAGGTCAAATCTATGTTACTACACACTTACATATTTCTTATGTTTCTAATGCAAAAATACTTGAGAAAAATCTTTAGAAAATTATAATTTTGATAGTTTATTTGTTTAGTTTAATACCAGTAGGTTTTATTAGACAAGTGACCTTTCAGTCAATTCTAAATCACCCAAATTACACGTCCATAAAATGAATCTGAAGGTGGACTTTTTTTAGATATATGACCTGATGTGGTAAGCAAAGATGGATAGTGGCTAGCAGTGGAATCCAGGACACACGTTTCGTCGTCTTCTTTGGGACTCGTCAACTGAATGTACCTGCATCTCAGAGTTGATGTTCACTCTGGGACGCGATGAAGTTCGAAGCGAAAAGTACTGGGTTCGAGTAGTGGATTGAACATCACCTCTGAGATATAGGTACATGCATCTGATGAGTCCCAAATAGGACGAAACGCGCATCCTGGATTCCATTGCTAGCTATTATCCATCTTTGTTTATAATCGATCATGTAACTTGAAGAAAATTCATGTAAAACAAAAGGTAACTGGTGTACTAAATCAACCATGCGTTGAAATTATGTAAATCATTCTTTACACTTAAAACATTATCACTTTTGTCTTGTTTAAATGAATAAAGAAAATTAACCGAGTAAATTAACTTATTTTGTATTTATGATAATCTTTGTCTTCAGTTTACTTTCTTTTTGTGAATTCTTATATTAAGAATAGTAAATCTACTCCGATAAGCGGTAAACAGTCGAATCATGAAACTCCTAATATAGTCAATGAATCTGTCAGTTATGAATCTTTCGGTATGTTTCTTTTTTCTTTTCTTAATTTATCATTGTTTTTTTAATGGGTCGATAAAAAAGATGAAAACTATCCAGTACTAAGATAACTATTGAACAATAAATAGTGTTAGAATTTTTAGTTAACAGTAGTAATTAAATTCTATCTAAATAGACTGTTGGTCGGCAGCTTAATAATAAAAAATAATTTATTCTCTGTCCCATTTTGATGTAGGTTTGTTCTCTGAGTTGGATGGTTTATAGTCGTGGACCTTTCATCGTCTTTCTGAATGAAATCATTAGCACATCGTCAGTCGTCGTTCTTAAGGACGATGAAAGCTGCACGATCAAACCATCCAGCTCACAGAACAAATCTACATTAAAATCACCCACCTGAGCTACAAATTTTTTCCACCATCTCTGTCCCATTATTATGAGGAGTTTGAATCATCCAATTATTGATGATATTCGAAATATAGGATTTCAATCAATCCTTGTTGGAATATAATTCATCATGTGTAGGTTAGCTCAGTTTGAACATCAGCACTGGGATCTAGATACGTCTAGTTGATAGATCCCAAGTTGGAACAAGCACATTTCTTAGATTCCATTACTAGCCAAAATCTATCTATTTTACAAAACTTATCAACCACTCAGTTTCATCTTTAAACTTTTATTCAGTTTGAACAAGGTAATACCATTAATTTTCATACAACATATTTGATAGAAAAGTATAACGCCCAAATCCATACTTGATTTTAAGTAAATTCTAATCTGAATGAAAAGAGTTTGGTATCGACTAGTTGTGAGTGTCTTCAAAAAATCGTCAATCGATAAACTTCGGTTGGTTCACGAGGAGAACATAGATTCCAAGATACTGGGTAACATTCGATAATTAACTGATTTAGCCCTTTAGTAGTTAACTTGAGAATATGAAATTCATTGATAACTCCGCTTACAAAAATATCTTTGTGAACTATATTCATTTTCATAAAGCCAGGTATGCGAATAATTTATTAACTATGGAATTTTCACGAAATCTGGATCAAACAGTTTTTCATGTTGGTTACTTTTGGGAAATTAGTTGAGGAAGTTCGTCTTAACTCTATAAAATATATGATGGAAATAAAATCAGGCATTCCACGGGATTCTATTCGAAACCATATTTGACAACCTTTTAAATTACTGAGTTTAGTAATTTTAAGAGCCCTGGTCAGGGAGTTGCGTTCAATCAACATCTATCAGTTTTATACCACTATCTTCTGCACTAAGGCTCCAGGCTATAAGGTAACTACGTGTTTGCTTTTTCCATGCAATCCCAGCATCAGCAAATAATACATTGTATACAAAACAACAGGATGATATTTTTGAAAAATATCCAAGAAGATGAAGCCCACGCTTCAAAACTGTTACTTCAATTAAATTATCATCACTTTTGCCAATTACGCACTTCTAAACCACCAGATCACTTACATATTATTACTGATAGATGTTAGGACTCATTCGTAAACGACAGCACTTAAACATATAAGGTTCCTGAACACTCTCTTCGCTGATGGACAGGGTTTGATAAATAAGTGCATAGATATTTTATTCGACACATTGAATACCCTACCTTTTACAGCCACACTAAAATCGAAACAACACTGAAATGGATGAAATTGGTATAAACTCTACACTAAATAATCTCATTTACTACTCCATCACCAGCACTTACACAGCTACCAATATATGTACAATTCTCAACCATTTCCAAAAACTCACCAAAAAAATTACAAGTAGACATAAGCTTCTAGATAATTCCTTTTCTGATACTGATATTGGAACCCATTAACTGTTAAAATCAATCACGTTTACAATCTTGATTAATTTTTTAGTTAGAAGTCATGACCAGTGTAGTTCAATTCGTGTCCGATAGAGACAGATATCTACCTCAGACAAAGGATGAATGGTTGCGCAAGATCATGTATCGACTGAAGCTAGGCATTAACACCGTTAGATGCCAGTTAAGTGTTCTAACAACTAAGCATTCGCACGCGATACCGAAAGTCCTGGGCTCGAGTTAAGTGTGTAGGATCGTGGAGCCTACTATTAAGTAGTCCCATACTAGGATGAAACGTCTGTCTACTACCTTCAAGTTTTAAATGATGGTCTAGCTTAGATCGACTCATGAATTGAACTACTAAAATTACTACAATCTTCATAAACCCCTATTCTGATCATTTTTAATATGATTAGCCTAATTTATTCAAGTACTAATATTCTACCAATTCATTTACATATTAACTACTTTCAGATACAATAAAGTCATCAAGACGTAGAAGTCGTGAATACTCAAAATATTTTAAAACTAGGTAAGTAAATTTATGTCAATAAAAGAGTATCATATTGAACAAAACATAGATTATATGAAGTAATAACTGACCATGTATTTAAGAATTAAAACTTTCATTTATGGAATTTTGTTCTTTGAACTGAATGATTTGATCATGAAGCTTTCATCATCCTTCTGAATGACATCATCAGTACAAAGAACGATCAAAGCTTCATGACCAAACCATCCAAGCTCAAAGAACAAAACTTCATCAAAAAAAAAATCATCTATCTAAGCTACAAATCTTCTCCACTACTTTATTACTTTTTTTCTTTTCTTCTCTTTTTTTTTCAAAATCAGGAGATTAACCATGTTTGAATATACTTTACCAAAACTAAATGATGTCAATCATCCAAGTCCATTAATTGAACAAACTAGTTGTGATGAAAATAGTTATATAAGTAATAATAATAATAATAATAATAATAATAATAATAATAATAATAATAATAATAATGCAAAGAAACAATATCGTCGACAATCGGAACCAATTAGATCTTTTAATTATGATCTAGATTATCAATTTTCTTATCCTAATCATGATCATACATTAAAAACTATTGAACAGATTCAAAATAGTTTAAAACAATTAGATCAAAAGGATCTAAATTCAAATAAACCAAATCTAGTTACTAATGCTAATACTACTACTACTAGTAGTAGTATTAGTAGTATTAATAGTAGTAATGATGATAATCATTTAAAAAATAATTTAAATAATGAAATGAATGCAAAAAATATTTTTCATCAAATTCAATTAATGGAACAAAAACAAAATATTCCAATGCAACAATTAAAAGAATTATTATTATCATCTGTAAGTTGAATTATATATTATTTATATAAATCAACCTCATTACATGAGTAAATAACTATGAGGATTCAGTAGCTAAGTGGATAATAAGATGGTGTTTGAAGTGAACGATATTGGGTTCGAGTCCTAAAGTGGATATCAACTCTGAGATACAGGTACATCTAGCTGATAAGTTTCAAATAGGATGACGCAATGTGTGTCCTGTAATCCATTGCTAACCACTATTCATTTTTGTTTATAATCAGTATTTAGTTTTTAGTATTAGTATTAGCTTTATTTAATATTATATATTTTTTGGTAAAATAGAGAATTCTCAGCACAAAGTATTTCAAGAAGTTTCCGTTTCTTACTTCTTCATCGATTCTGACAACAAATATTGAGTAATCGCTAGTTAGAATTTAGTAGTCCAGTTAATCGCCATCTGAATAATGTATATTCTGTTCGCTGCATATTGACAGCAACCACAATATCTCTGATTAGACCTTTTGTAACCTTCACAGCGAAAGGTTGTACACTTTTCAGAAATACACTTGAATAGGTTGTGAGATCAGTTGACGTTAGACATTAACACCGTTGGATGCCAGGTCAGTGGTCTATCGGTTTAGGGCTGTGGCTCGAGACTGGTAGGTCCTTGGTTCGAATCTCGCGAGTGCGAGTTCGTGGATGCGCATTACTGAGGAGTCCCATAATAGAACGAAACGACCGTCCAGTGCTTCCAGGTTTTCAATGGTGGTCTAGATCCAATTGACTCATGCTTTCAACTATGTGCGATTAATAGCCATAATGATGTATTAAAACAAACAAAATTAGATAAGTTGTTTAATATATATATTACAGGAACAGGTAGCCCAGATGTTTAAGCAGGTCGCCAGTTGTTATTGTTATTGTTTGATGAACTAGAAAAAGAGATAAACTACTGTTTGTTTTTTACTAATTTAAGTCTTTTCAGTAGTATATACCCATGTTCTTGCGAAATGCATTGTTAAATGATGTATTCCTTACTTAATCAAAAGTTATAAGAAAGATATTGAAGAGGAAATCAAAAAATGACATTAGCTCATGAATTAATTCACAAATGAACTGAAAAACGATAATAGATGTAGACTAATTTTAATAGTTGAGATCATGAGTCAATTGAAGCTAGACCAATATGGAAAACCTGGAAGCACTAGACGGCCGCTTCGTCTTATTGTGGGACTCCTCAGCAATGCTCATCCACGATCCCGCCTTGCAAGATTCCAACCCAGGACCTATCAGTCTCGCGCGCGACCGCTTAACCACTAGATCACTGAGTTGGCATCCAACGGTGTTAATGTCTAACTTCAACTAACCTACGAAATTGGATGACACATCCACCGGTAAGCACTGGTTTCGAATCTCGTGAAGCGGGATCGTGGATGCGCACTGCTGAGAGGTCCCGCAATAGGACGAAACGGTAGTTCAGTGCTTCCAGGTTTTCTGTGGTCGTCTAGTTTCAATTGACTCATGATCTCAACTATTAAAACTGCCATAATATCCACGAAAACCCCTTCTGAGATGCAAATTACCTGACTGGGATCCACATGATAACCACAATCAATGGTTAAAGACATTGGTTGAGATAAGATAGTATCGTTTATAGTGGTTTAAATACGTGGTTGTAGTTAATTGGTAAGAAGAACTGCTTTTCTTAGGTCTCGTGTGGCAAGATATATCCGAAATTCTATAAGAGTCAATGCTTTCTGTGAAATTCGGATCCATATAACCTGTTTGTAATCAAAAACACCAAATTCTATTGGACACAACGTTAAGTCGTTGAGACTAGTGATCATATTGAAATTTAACCAGTAGAATTTGATCAGCACTAATGAATAAAGAAATCTGATATTGGATACTCCTGAATTGATGACCTCTATACATAATTATATATTTAATACTCAATACCAAACTCCGGATGAACACTGTATAACAACAAGCTGATAAAATTTAACTCTATTTGAAACCACATTATTATTTGGCAGACTACTTGGTTGAGGTCCCTTGTGATGATCGTAACCAATGGTTGGAGACTCTAGGTGATATTGGCTCAGAATTGATCACAATGGGGTAGGTGTATATACTCTTTATATTCCCTTAAACCTTGAGATTAAAATTGCTTCAAATCTGTCCTCCTTCCTATACTATATCCTTATATACAACCTTTCTTTATATACTACCACCATTAAATTAACTATTTCTATGAATTCAGTGTTCATCTTGTTGTGCTAATGAGTGAGGTATGGCAACTTGAACCGATGCATAAATGTCATGGGTCCTACGTTGTTTAAAAAGATTTAACTGAAATCATTTATTTCAGTGATTATATGAAAATTATTTTTATATTTTTTTTCTTCAAGAGAGATGGAATGAAAGATTTTATGGCTTTTCTAATTCCAACTAATGGAATACATCTTGTTGATTTTTGGTTAGATTGTGAAGCAATTAAAATGATATCATCTATGGAGAAGTCAAGTTTTGAAAGTATCAAGTTGAAATTTAATTTATTACGGTACTTCATAATTTTTTTTGTTTAAATTGAGATCATGAATTGATCAATGTTAGACTATTATTGAAAACCTAGAAGCACTGGATGACCGTTTTGTCCTAGTATGGAACTCCTTAACAGTGAGCAACCACGATCCTGCACAAGGGACTCGAACCCAGCAACTTCGGTCTCGCATGCGAACATTTAACGTCTAGACCACAAAGCCGGAATCCAACGGTGTAAATGCGTGACTTCAACAAATCCATGATATTGTTCAATCTTCTTCCATTTTCTTAGGTGAAAACTACCTCACACCCTACACCGATTAGCTCCACTGATCACAGCTTCTCACTAGAACTCCGATAATTATCTCTTGAAGTTATTTATTAGTGAGCACATGATAATTATCTGTATAGAGTAGTGTCAATTGTTGAGTTTTGATTGATATCATGAAGATCGGATCATTTATGGACAAATCCGGATGTTACTGATAAAAGCTTTCCTGAAGCTTGGTTTTTCACACTACTTAACATTAGTTATTCGTTAAGCCACTTAAAAGTAGATCAATACTCTTCTCGGATGTCCTAGTTGTATTATTCATAAATAATGATAACTTTCCCCATAGTCATAGACCAGGTAATGTCTTCAGATATTATTATTCCCTATAGGAAAATAAAGCACAGAGTGTAGTAATCCTATTCGCTATGCATGCATGTTACTGTTCACTGTATTCCATTAGTTAATAATATATTCTATTTGGTTACATCAATTATAAAAAGTCTTCTGAACATCCAGTAACTAAGGAAAACTCTCCACTATATCTCACTCAACTGAGTCAAATGATAACTGATTTGTTTAACAATCTGAAATACCAAGAACTTTTAATCAGATGAGTTTAAGTAATAAAGTGAATGTATGAAATGCTCACATTTTAACACCGTATCACTCCTTGCCAATATAATGAGAAGACAAATTCTACAAATATATATATATATATATATGTCTAATTCACTTGACGTTGTTTACTTGTATCTTCCCATTGTTATTTAGGATTGCAATTGATCAGTCTCTTATTGACATACGTGCACCATGTGCGAATTACCTCGATATTGTCTTAAGTCACAAGCTTTATAAGCAAAGATGGATAGTGGCAAGCAATGGAATCCAGGATATACATAAGCCAACAAGAGACTGATCATTTACAGTCCTAAATAAGAATAGAAAAATACAAAAAATCAACATCAAGTGGATTTAAAAATTCACTCCATTGCACTACCGGGTGGCTATCAGGACTCAGTAGCTAAATGAATAACGCAATGGCGATTTAAGCGAATGTTAATGGGTTCGAGTCCCAGAGTGAACATCAACTCTGAGATGCATGTATATGCAGTTGACGAGTCCCAAATAGAACGAGATGCGCATCCTGGATTCCCTTTCCTAGCCACTATCCACCTTTGTGTATACATATGTCTATTTTAATTTGAAAATCTAATTTCTTTCGAATAATCTGATTATTGAATTCAGCGCTATACTTCATTCAACTATTTTTTGAACCACTTAGTCGAATAGAAGTTAACAACTAGCCTCCATGTATTCATTTTAAAAACTCCCAATTATAAACCATAACTGAGAAAAAGTATTCACAACTACTCAATGTTGTAAACGGTAGGATACTTGTTATAACGTTAGGGTTTCTTATTATAACAGTCCTTTCTCTTTTTACACATACGTGGGACGTTAATTTATCTTTGACGAATATCTACATTAGATTCCCTCCCAGTATTTATTCTACAGGATTTCAACACAACTCGGATCAAGAACATGAGATTAGCCTGACAAGAACGTCAATATATTTCCAGAGCAAAAGTCCGACACAATTCAACAAAAAGAGAACAGTCAATCCATAAAAGTCAATAAATAATAGGGATAGGGGAATATATAACACCTATCACACACTATCTATATTGTCTGACTCAGCCAAACAACCAATCATTATCATTCTCACATACTTATCACTTGAATAAATCAGAAGGGGTTTTGTGGAGATTTCAGTATTTTCATAGTTGAAATCATGAGTCAATTGAAGTTAGATAGATGCTGGTCCAGTGGTCTATCGGTTTAGTGTTCTGGCGCGAGACTGGTAGGTCCTGGGTTCTAATCTCGCGAGTGAAAGACTGTGGATGCGTACTGCCACTGAGGAGTCCCATAATAGGACAAAACGGCCATCAATACAGTGCTTCCAGGTTTTCCATGGTAGTCTAACTTCAGTTGACTCATGATTTCAACTATGAATATACTTCAATAAATAACATAACAACAAAGTCTATTAATTTGATTGATATAATCCTTTATGATAGCTGCCCCCAAATGCCCTGGTATGACCGAGAGTGGGGAGAGTCCGCTCTCCCTCACGAAATACTCTCACATGACCACAAGTACATAGCCTCTGTCAGGGAAGTCCTACTCACTGCCTTCTCGTGGCACTACTGTTGTTTACGAAAGTGAGAGGACGAAAAGTAAATGTCCCGCACCCCGACCGGGTTGATGGACACGGAAAGTCCACCTAGGGTAGTTAGGAAATCCTGATTTCAAACCAACGGTGCACATGGGCTCCAGTATCCTGAAGGAACGAATAGCGTATGAATCAATTGTTGGTCACCGGCTACCATGGGACTGAATCTCCTCACGATGCTCCACTACCTTGTGGATTAGACCTTTAGATAAAAGGCTCCGGATGTAGACACCCGAGCAGTATCACAGCCCTCACACAAATCTCATTTGATTTGTGTGGCGCATATGTATCTGGTACCCGTTTATACCAATATTTATATGTATAAATAAATAAATAAATTATGATAGCTATTTTTTTTTTACTTTTAAAATACATCCTTTTTCTTTATATCCTTCTTTAGGGATCTTGAAGATCGTTACCTACTTCGATTAACATCTAAAGTACGGGAAAAATTATTTACAACAATGAATACAATATCGGATTATTTTATCACTAAGTCTAATGATCATAATAATGATAATGATCCTAATGAATCCTATCTATATGAACTTAGTAATCTAATGTTTAATTGTATTCAATATGATTGTTTACGTCGTTTACGTTATTATTGGTTACCAAGATGGTTATTGCATTGGGATAGAATCATCAAGAATTGTCAATTTTTACCCAACAACAATAATAATGATAATAATAATAATGATTATTCTAATTTATTTTATATACCATCAAATTGTTCATCCATTATTCACAATGATAAAGATGACAATAATTGGCATCATACATCATCTAGTGTATATACAGAAAGTTCTAATATGGAACAAGATATTGATCATGATATTGTGGATGATCACTATAACAATACTACTACTACTACCACTACTACTACTACTACTACTACTACTACTACTACTACTACTACTGGTAATGCTGAATATGAGGAATGTCAGTACAATGATGTATTCGAAGATAATACTGATGCTACTGAAGACTGTCATCATTCATTACAAAGAACTCAAAACACAATCAAGAAATTGAATGATGAAAATTCATGGAATAAAGAAATCTATAATTTACTTGTTAAAAATGCTTTATCTAAAAATGGTTATCTTATACAAACTAATTTAAATAAACAATTATTAAGTAGTATATCAAAACAACGTTTAAAATCATCTCTATCATCAATATTCAATACATATATATCAAATGATAAGTATCAAATGAATTCAAAAGCCAATCAATCATTATTATTATCATTATTATTTAAACAATATAATTTATCATGGACAATACCATATGAATATGATATAAATAGTAATCTGATTGGTTCAAATTTATATCCTGGTTTAAAATGGGAAAATTTTTTAAAAAATCATTCACAGAAATTAACATCATCATCATGCTCATATAAACAAATGAATAATTTAATAAAACAAAATAATTCAATTATAATTGATTCATTTATATCAACATTAGGAATTAATAATAATAATAATATTAATAATAATAATAATAGTAATAATAATACTAATAATAATATTAATAATAATAATAATAATAGTAATAATAATACTAATAATAATATTAATAATAATAATAGTAATAATAGTAATATTAATAATTATTATTATTATAGTAATAGTAGTGGTAATTATAACTATAATAGTAATAATTATAATAATAATTGTAATAATAATAATAGTAATAGTAATAACAATAGTAATGATTATGTCAATAATAATGTTAATAGTAATAGTAATAATTATTATTACTATAACAGTAATAACAGTAATAATAATAATAATAATTACTACTATAGTAATAATAATAATAATGTATCCTTAAGATTTCCTTCAAATATTAAAGAGAATAGTAATAATAAACTTACATTATTAAAAGAAGATTTAATGAATAAAAAAAATGAAAAAATTTTAAAAATTAAATGTTTAATAGCAATTTATAGTGATTCAATAGCTGGTGGTCCATTTCAATCATATTTAGAAAGGTAAATTATTTAATGTATATATATATATATATACATATATTTTATACGAATATTCGTCAAGATTAGAACGAATAGTTTGACAATAATTGGGCGCCGAGTATAGAGAATTCATTATATTTGAAATAGTCTCAGCGATTGAAATTTAAACGGTAATTCCAACGTTTCGTCCAGCTAACTTGTCTGGAATTCTTCAGGGAAATAATCAAAATCATCAAAGAAATATATAGTGTTTTTTACAATCATATCATCAAAATCTCTACTACTTTTTAATCCAATCATATTTGGATGTCGAAGTTTTTGTACAACAGGATAATATGAGTCATGGTTAGCAGAGATGGATAGTGGCTAGCAGTGGAATCCAGGACGCGCGTTTCGTCCTATTTGGGACTCGTCAGCTGGATGTACCTGCATCTCAGAGTTGATGTTCACTCTGGGACTCGAACCCAGTCAGTTGAATGAGAATCAAGTGAAAAGTTCAACGATGTGAATTAAACGAGACTGCATAAATTGTGTGTATGTATGTATGTGTAAGATGAGTTATTAATGATGAATGATATTCAGTGTTGATATGTTTCTATGTGAAGTAAAATAGGAATAAACGTGCATAATGAAGGTTGAAAAGTTTTTCTCCTTTCTGAATCATCGAAGTAGCAAATAAAATGAGAATCATCATCAAGTACATAAATTGTAATGTTAAACATAACTCATATTGATTTCAGTCATAATAACGATTCATGTGAAGTAAACAGGTTGAATAAAAGAAAAAGGTCAAATTACTTGTTGATGAATATTTGCCAAGTGGTAGCTAGCTGAATACCATCCTTTCTGTTTAGGCTGTTCTTATTCGCCCATATATACAGCGCTTCTGCTGTTAATCTTTCTTTGTGAGTGTTGAAACCTTTCGGAAGTATTTTGGCCCCTTCAAAATTAATCATGTGTCCCGTTTCCAACGCATGTAACGCTATTGCAGACTTATTCTCAAGTTTCTTTAAGTCAACCGAGGTTTTGGGAACGTTTTTTAAACACTGTTTGTGTTCCTTCAACCTTACCTTCAATTGTCTGGATATTTCTCCAATATAAGCCGCATTACAATCATGACAATTGATCTCATAGACAATATATTGTTGTTCTTCCTTTGGTAACCTATCCTTAACCTTCACCAATGACGATCTTATAGTGTCACATGTTCTAAAATACACTCTTATATCATGTTTGCTTAAAATCCGTTTGATTTCCTCCGAAATTTCAATCGCTGAGACTATTTCAAATATAATTTTTTCACATATAATGTATATATATATATAATTATTCGTTTTTTTGTTTTGCTAAATTAAGATGTTATTATTTAAAGATTTTGAATAGGATTAATGATAATTTAAAGCAATTCGTCTTACTTACCTACGCCTGTAACCCCTCGTCGAGAAGTATAGGCTGTACACCAACATTCACCATCTAACCCTATCCTGGGTAATCCTTTCTAGTTTTTCCAAGTTAACATTCATTCTTTTCATATCTGCTTCTATTTCCCGGCGTAATGTGTTCTTTGATCTTTCTCTTTTCTGCTTCCCTTCCGAATTCCAAGTTAGGGATTGCCTCGTGATGCAGTTTGGTGATTTTCTCAATGTTTGACTGATCCCTTTCCAACGTCTTTTCCTAATTTCCTCTTCAGTTGGAAACTGGTTTGTCCTCTTCCATAGTAGGCTGTTGCTGATCGTATCCGGCCAGTGAATGTTGAATATTTTTCAATCATCCACCATCGTCTTCAGTGAGTTGATATCTCACAACAGACCTGAAGTTAGACATTAACACCGTTAGATGCAGGCTGACTCAATGGTCTAGTGGTTAAGCGGTCGCTTACGAGACTGGTAGCTCCTGGGTTGGAATCTCGTGGGGCGGAATCGTGGATGCGCATTGCCGAAGAGTCCCATAATAGGACAAAATGGCCATCCAGTGCTTCCAGGTTTTCCATGGTACTCTAACTTCAATTGACTCATGATTTCAACTATAAAATTATATATATATTCAAATTGATAATCCAGAATAACAAATTTTGTCAAGTTTAAAATAGAGTACATCATTTAAAACTGTAACATGTGAATCAAGAAATGTTTGTAATATCAAATCATATCAAATCCTTAATACCAAGGTTGACCAATATAAATTGTTAACTAGAATCAGTTTATAAGTGAAATGTGAAATTGTGAGATGATCAATAATCAGAATAAATATAGTTGACATGGGGGTAACAGAGAATAATGGGATTACAAACCACAAAATTACTTAATATGTATAGAGGTGGATGCTGAATAATTTTTTTCTAAAACATTAGCAAGTGCGATAATCATAGTGACAATTGTAAGATGTACAGATAAGATAAATTTAGGGTATGAAAATGATTATTAATTTTTGACGAAGTTTTTTTCTTCGAGCTGGATGGTTTGGTCATGAAGCTTTCATCGTTTTTCTGAACGAAATCATCAGCACAAACTTCGGGTAAAAGTGAAGTGTTTGAATTTCTTCACATGTGCTTCACAGCTTGTCCTGTATCAATAAGAACCAATCAACATCGAGGTGCACAGAACAACCTGTGAATTCAAACAATTCACTTCTACCTGAAGTTTGTGCTAATGATGTCGTTCAGAAAGACGATGAAAGCTCCATAACCAAACTATCCAGCTCAAAGAACAAAACTCCATCAAAATCATCCGCCTGAGCTACAAATCTTCTCCACCATCTCATGAACAATAATCAAATTAATGTCATCATATTATAAAACTGATTATTAACAAGTTGACCCTGAAGTTGGCCAGGATGAAAGGAGCGGCTGGACATATTTCTTTCATTTCACTTATAAACTGAATCAAGTTAACACTTTATATTAGTCAACTGTAGTATTAACGATTTGATTTGATTTTATATTACAAACACTCCTTGATTCATATGTTACAGTTTTATTAAATGATGTACTCTACCTTAAACTGGGCCAATTTTTTCGTTGTGGATGATTAATTTGGACATATATATATAATTTTATAGTTGAAATCATCAGTCAATTGAAGCTAAACCACCATCGAAAACCTGGAAACACTGGACGGCCATTTCATTCTATCATGGAACTCCTCAGCAGTGCTTATCTACGATCCCGCCTCATGAGATTCGAACCCAGGACCTATCAGTTTCGCACGTGAGCGCTTGACCACCAAACCACTGAGATGGTCGGCATCCAACGATGTTAATGTCTAACTTCAATCAATTCACAAAGTTGAGCTACCTTTTACAATCTGATGACAAATTATTGAAAAGAATATTTTTCATTCATATAATTGCGTTTTAATGTAATTAATCGTTTTTGTTTCTACATTATGATTTTATATTAAAGATTGTGAATAGGAATAATGATAATGATTGTCACTTGTTGATCAAGTAATATAAACAAAATTGATGAAAATATTTTTATGAAAGTATCATAATATTTAAACTCCTCCTGTATCTCCTCTGGGGGTTACTGCCGGTCCCAAGCCCACACAAAAGAGGAGGGTTGGGCATGGGGTTAGCGACCACATCTCGTAGAAAATCAACTCGCTAAAAAAACGCTAACCAGAAAATATCATTCAAACCATTTAAACTCTGCCGTGGGAGTAGAAGGAATAATTATGACGTCTCATGATGAAAGCCGAGTTCCTTCGGAAGTCATGAAACCGATTCACCTTCTTACAACCAGAGAGACAATTTTTATAGGTACATGGAATGTCAGGACAATGCTACAGAAAATCATAATATTTAAGCTTAAATTATATTAGACTACCAAAAAAGTTGAGAAAAGCTGGATTTTGATAGAGTTTTGTTCCTTGAACTAGATGGTTTGGTAGTGAAGCTTTCATCAGTTCGATCTGCTAACAAGATTAAAGTATTATTGATCACTAAGCCTGGGATAAACAAACACCTGACCTACTGACTATTAAATATGTGATATTCTTTCCTCCCATTGATTTCTAATTCGAACTCACTAACTTTGAATGCTTGTAACTGTACTGAATAAACTATTACATAATGTTAATCTGGTTCTCTATTCTGGGTCATGAATCCTGGATCTTATATAACGTGACTAGTCTTATTATGGTACTAACATACAATCGAAGTTTACCTGAAAGAGAGGGAGAGAGAAAGAGCTATTTTAAACGATCTGTTATATTAGAATTATTTGACATTACCTTTGTATTTTATTATAAAGTATTAATGGATCGCGAAAATTTCATATTCAAACTCTTCACATATCATAAGTGAAGTGGGTAGAAGTACTTTGTGAATGAAATACAAGACTAAATTGTAGAATTATGAATTCATCTTCATAAGTTCCTTATTGAGATATTATTACAGCAAAAGATGATTTATAGTTACCTAGTTGTTAGAACTTTTTAACGATGAAATACAGGTTTTCGTCTAATCAATTAAAATAAAGTGAACAAAATGTATCGTTACCTGAATGTATTTACATGTAAGTGTTATTGTTACCGGAGAAACTTTAGCTTAAAAAAAAAAGTAGGTAAACTGTTGTCTATACCATCCAACATATCCAACAATAGGCAATAGGATAATCACATGAACCATAACCAGATAGTCTACATTTACTAACATTGAGACCTATAGTCAATATCTTCATGAACTAATGTCAAGTCTTGTTATTGGCATATTCACTAGATTTTACAAGGATCAATATAAGGCATCTGTAGTGTCAGTTACTATATTAAGCCTATATCACTTATGTTAGCTTCTGAACTAACCAATTTATTCATTCTCTTTAAGCTATATTTTGACCTTGTTGATTATTCGTTTGTTAATCTTGATTGTTTTGATATGAGTGTATGTATGTGCACATCCTATCCTATTCAACACATACCGGTAACTTATTTTTTGATTTGATTATGAATATCAATTCACGCTTGATAAAATCGAGTTAGCTCACATGCCTTCTCCATTGCATGTCATTTCACTTCGATATCTCCTGTTCGCTCGTTTATCTGGATCAATGATTGTACAAACTTTATAAGTATTTAAAATTCATTCTTGTATTTGACTTATTTAATTCCGTAATTCACTAATGCGATTTAATTCGATGATTATGTTCGAGGATTAACGATATGTATATTTTAATAACAATCAGAAGGTACTTAACTGGAGTCAAATCTTCTTCCACTAAAGTGATGAGCCTATCGATAACATCGTCCAATCTAATTGATGTCAAAATGAAGGGCTCCATTAAACATTTATTAATAATTATCAGAAGGGGTTTTGTGGAGATTTTAGTAATTTTAATAGCTGAGATCATGAATCAATTGATAACAATCAACATGTGCTCACTAGTGACTGGCTCCATAAGGTATTTCCTGAAGTTCTAGTGAGAAACAGTCACTAGTGGAGTTCAACCAGGTCTGTTGTGAGATAGTAACTCACTGAAGACAATGGTAGATCTGTCGCTCAATTTCGTAGAATCGGTTGAACTTACTTACTTACTTACTTACTTACACCTGTTACTCCCAATGGAGTATAGGCCGCCGACCAGCTTTCTCTAACCCACTCTGTCCTGGGCCTTCTTTTATAGTTCTATCCAGTTCTTGTTCATTCTTCTCATGTCTGTCTCTATTTCTCGGCGTAATGTGTTCTTTGGTCTTCCTCTTCTCCTTTGGCCTTCAGAATTCCATGTGAGGGCTTGTCTTGTGACAGAGTTGGGTGATTTCCTCAAAGTGTGACCAATCCACTTTCAGCGCTTCCTCCTGATTTCTTCCTCCGCTGGAATCTGGTTTGTTGTCTCCCACAGTAACTTGTTGCTGATAGTGTCTGGCCATCGGATCCGGAGTATCTTACGTAGACAACTGTTAATAAACACTTGTATCTTCTGGATAATTGCTTTCGTAGTTCTCCACGTCTCCGCCCCATACAGTAGAACTGTCTTCACATTTGTATTGAAAATTCTAACCTTGGTGTTGGTTGACAACTGTTTTGAGCTCCAGATGTTTTTCAGTTGTAGGTATGCTGTTCTTGCTTTGCCGATCCGCGCCCTCACATCTTCATCTGATCCACCGTGTTCATCAATGATGCTGCCCAGATATGTAAAGGTTTCCACATCTTCCAAAGCTTCTCCGTCAAGTGTAATTTGATTGGTGCATATTGTGTTGTATCGGAGAGTCTTGCTTTTCCCTTTGTTTATATTGAGACCTACTGCTGCTGAGGCTGCTGCTACACTGGTCGTTTTCTCCTGCATTTGTTGTTGCGTTTGTGATAGAAGAGCCAGATCATCCGCGAAGTCTAGATCGTCAAGTTGCATCCTGCCTGTCCACTGTATCCCGTGATTTCCTCCAGATGTTGACGTCTTCATGATCCAGTCGATGACCAGGAGAAAGAGAAAGGGTTGAAGCTAGACATTAAAACCGTTGGATGCCTGCTGACTCAGTGGTCTAGTGGTTAAGCCCTCGCTTGCGAGACTGATAGGTCCTGAGTTGGAATCTTGTGAGGCGGAATCGTGGATGCGCACTGCTGAGGAGTCCCATAATAGAACGAAACAGTTGTTCAGTGCTTCCAGGTTTTCCATGGTAGTCTAGTTTCAATTGATTCATGATCTCAGCTACTAAAATTCATTAATAAATTAGATAATGTTATTTATTTTAAAATGGTGAACTTTTTCATCTCTTACACCTCACCTTTTCTTTTTGCATTGAAACATATTCAGGAAAGATCTTGAAAAACAAAATCGAATACTTGGATTTTTACAAGCGATAAATGATTATTCTAGACACAATTTAAGTTTAATGGCTAATCGTTTTACTAAACTAACAAAAATTTGGTATATTGTCAATAATTTTCTAAGATCAACCAGTCGTTGGTGTATAGGTAAGTTTTTACTATCATTAATACTACAATTAATCGTTACTTACTTACTTACTTACGCCTGTTACCCCTCGTGGAGGAGTATAGGCCGCCCACCCAACTCTGTCCTGAACAATCCTATCCAGTTCTTTCCAGTTGTCATTCATTCTTTTCATATCTGCTTATTCCTTCAACTTCCAGGGCAGAGTTTAAATGGTTAGAATTATTTTTCTGGTTAGCGTTTTTTTGCGAGTTAGTTTTTCTACAGGATGGGGTCGCTAACCGCATGCCCGACAGTCCTCCTTTACCCGGACTTGGGACCGGCAGTAACTCTAGAAGAGCTACAGGCGGAGTTAAAAATTAATCCACTTTATTATCATTATTTTAACATTTGTATTCACTCGATTTAAGTTGTATATAAAGTGTATACACTGTATACAGCCTCTATTAGGGAAGCCCTACTCCTTGACTTCTCGCTGTGAGAGCGTTGCTTACGAAATTGAGAGCATGAAAAGTGAATGTCCGGAGCTTAAACCGAGTCGGCGAACACGGCGTGTCCACCTAGGGGAGTTAGAAAACCCTGATTCCGAACCAGGAGTGCACATGGATTTCAGGATTCTGAAGGAATAAATGACGTATGAACCAATTATTGGTCACCGGTTACAATGGGGCTGCATCTCCTTACGATGCCCCACTGCCTTGTAGGTCAGACCTTTAGGTCTAAGGCTCGGGGTGTGGCCTTCTAAGATAACCACCTGCTTTGGTCTCGGCACCCGGGCACCATCACAGCCCTCACACAAGTCTAATGAGATGACAATTACTTCACGAAATAATACGTTCTCTCCAATTAGAATTCACTCTGGGACTCGGACCCAGTATCGTTCGCTTCAAACACCATCACGTTATCCACAAGATACAAGTAAACAATACCAAGCGAACTTAAATTTCACCCCATCGTACAAGCAAGTGACTATCCGGACTCTGTAACTAAAACCATCCGTATTTGCTTATAAAGCTTGTGACTTAAGATAATATTGAGGTAATCCGCATAGTACTCACATATGCAAACAAAAGATTGATCAATTGCAATCCTAAATAACAATGGGAAGATACAAGTAAACAACACCAAGCTAATTTAAAACTTCACCCCATTGCACTACCAGGTGGCTATCAGCACTTAGTAGCTAAGTGGATGATATGGTGGCTTTTGAATCGAACGGTACTGGGTTCGAGTCCCAGAGTGAACATCAACTCTGAGATGCAAGTACATCCAGCTGACAAATCTCAAATAGGACAACGAAATGCATATCCTGGATTCCACTGCTAGCCACCATTCATCTTTGCTTATAAATAAGATCTGTCTATCAATATTAATTCTTACCCGTCATTTTAGCAAAACCGAAATTTACGTAGATCAATATCTGTAAGATCTAAAACTGTTAAATAAGTCATTGTATATTGAGTACCCGGTAACAAATTATTCTATCATGTCCAATTAAGTCCTCTTAGGTTTAACCTTTTGGTTAGAATTCAAAAGGTAACATTAATCAATTATTAGACAGCTGAATATGAACTCGACTCATGCATCATACCTGAAGCATTTGATATCGTTTATTATTGATCACTTTATTCTCTTTAATAAAATCTAACATCATTCAATTTCACCTTGAAGGTTTGAAAAAAAACTGTTGATGCTATGTATTGTAATCAAATAACCCCAGTACTTCAACCTGTATTGTAGATAGAACATTCAGATGCAAATGATTTGATTTGGGTTTTCAAATTTTCTAAGAAGTTCTTTATAGATGATCAGATCTAGATTGAAGAAAAAGAGGATAGTATGTATTAGTATCGAAACCGTTGTTCACATATTATTTCTATCTTCTTCAACCTGATTACTATTCTACTTAGGGATGATTCTGTTCTAGAATTGATTGATCACTGGGTGGTGACCGATTTCGTATATATCGGGTCCTTCTTAGTACAGATAGAATTCTATCGATCAAGCTGTAATGTGGCCACTAGTCTAGATGACTGGATATCTTCAGCACTATCTTAAGACGTAAGATGTTAATAGGATGTATTCAACGAGAAACTCCGTTCTACTAGATCATATCCTGTCTAATTCTATAGATTCGCTTACTTGTTGCTTATTGTTTCATTCTAAAGAGATTTAATAAACAAATATGATGTCTGGAGTAAAAAACATGGTATAAATGTGATTAAATATTACAGTTGGATACCTGAAAATCAAGAACTAATAGGTGACTGTTGGAATATATTCTAAAACATACTTAAGAACCCTCTCAATAGTCAGTCAATCAGTCAGTCACAACGTAGAAATTCGTACGTACATAAGTACATCAGTTCGAGTTGCCATTTCACATAAGCACAGCGATGAAGTTGTCCATTCAAATCCCATATTGGTAGAAGTAGTAAGAGTATAAGTAGTAGGGTCTGAAGATGTTATTGAAGGAGTATAATCCAGTGAAATAAATTTGTTAAGAGAAAAAAGATAAAGACATGAAGAATTCAGAAGATTAAAATTTGGTAGAACACAAAGAGTAGATGCACCTTCACCATTGCAAACGATTTTGAGCCATATCATTCAAGATCTCTAACCATCGATTGCTATCATCTCGCGGATCCCAACCAAGTATTCTACACCTATCAGCATGGCTTAGTCCAACTGTCAGTGACCTCATGGATTTAGACACAATTTTCAAGTTTTATTTAAGACCAAACTTCATTGATACTTTATTAATCTTATTACTTAACAGATATTGATTCATCATTAGTGAAATCAATCATTGAAGTAATTCAAATCAAAAAAGATACAACTCCTGTTGAAATATTTGACACAGTGAAAAATATTTGTTTAGATGAAATCTATCCATTTTGGATTGAATATATGAAATATGATGCTTTTCAATTTTTTTGGTAAGTGTTTAGTATGAACATAGTAGGTAGTTTTATATACATTTGTCTGTTTAAACTAATTACTAATTAAGCAAAAATGGATAATGGTTAGCAGTGGAATTCAGGACGCGCACCACTTCGTCCTATTTGGGACTCGTCAGCTAGATGTACCTGCATCCAAAGAGTTGATGTTCACTCTGGGACTCGAACCTAGTATCTTTCGCTTGAAACGCCATAGCTTTATTCACTTAGCTACTGAGTCGTGATAGCCACTTGCACAAGCGTCCTGGATTCCACTGCTAGCCTCAATATAGTATTTTTGTTCAGTGTTCTATAGAATAGATGGATTTTGACTAGTACTTGAACTCAGAATATGGATTTCATGCCATATTGAAGCCATCCACAAATGATGAATTTCAGTCAACAAAAACTGACCAAAATTCAGTCATGAAAATCGACATTAAGATAATTCCAACACCTAACAATGATAGTTTCAAGATCATACTTTTTGAACAGGTTCGTGCTTATCTGGATTCAGTAACTCAGTGGATAATGTGTTGGAGTTTGAAACGAGGGTTACTGAGTTTGGGCCTCAATGTGAACATCAGAATTTGGATTCAGGTAAATCCAACTATTGAGACATTGGGAAGCTGTAATTAGACTAGTCATTGAACCATGTCTCTTATTCTTCCAGCTTTCAAGAAAATATCTGTAATCTTAAGTAAATAAAACATTTTTAATAGTTGAGATGATGAATCAATTGAATCTAGACCACCATGGAAAACCTGGAAGCACTGGCCAATGCACACCCACGATCCCACCTCGCGAGGCTCTAACCCAAAACCTACCAGTTTCGCGCGCGAGCGCTTAACCTCTAGACTACTGAACGGGCCGGCATCCAACGGTGTTAATGTCTAACTTCAATCGATCCACCAAATTGAGCAACACATCCACCAATGTCTTCAGTGAGTTGATATCTCCCAACAGACCTGGTTGAACTCCACTGGTCACTGCTTCTCACTAGAACTCCAGGAAATACGTCTTGGAGCCAGTCACTAGTGAGCATATGTTGATTATTATCAGAAGGGGTTTTGTGGATATTATAGTAATTTTAATAGTTGAAATCATGAATCAATTGAAGCTAGACCGAAGCTAGAACGAAACGGTCATCCAGTGATTCCAGGTTTTCTATGGTGGTCTATCTTCAGTTGATTCATGACCTCAACTATATAAAATTACTAGAATATCCATAAAACCCCTTATGATAAAAACCACTTTTTTCTCTTAAATCAACCTCTGCAATCAATATTCACTTAAATGTACAGATAGTACTTTACTGGAAATTTTTGTAAACGATCATTGATTGTTTTTCAATTTCAGTGCTGCACATAAAAGTAAAGATGAACATTATATGATACCCAAGTCACCGGATGATTTTGACATACTCTTGGATGAGAATTCTAACTTAGTAGTACGACGTAAACCAATAGAAATGTAAGTTGATATATACAATAAATTGTCTGTGTTTAGTGGCAATGATCGTAATAATCATTATTTTTTTCAGATGAAGTGGATTTCGCAAAGATTATTTGATTTTCTAGACGATATTCGTCATGGATTTGGAGTGACATTTAATGATACTTACAGACTAAAGTAATCTCAAAAAAACAATAGCCAACTTACTAACGACCTACCATGATATTTACAATTGATCGATCACTGGGTAATGATCAATGTCATGTATGTCTGATCCATCTTAGTGCAGATCGAATCCTATCGACCAAGTCGCAATATGGCCACTAGTCTAGGTGACTCGACATTGTGTGTACTATCTTGAGATAAGACGGTGGTTGGAGGTAGTCAACAGTAAACCCTGAACCTAAATTTCATGCTACTTGACACTCGTCAGTAAAGTGTACCTGTAATCTTAAGGAAAATGATACTCCTGGACGGACTTGATCCCATATAACCCAGCTTAACGGTCAGAAACGTTACCACTGAGCTATCCGGGCCGCGACCTAGGTCCAGCGTTTCCTGTTGACCACCTCCAACCACCATCTTACCTACCATGATAGCTGAGCAAAAACTGATATGACTCAACGTGAAGAACATGTCACAGACTTCAGATGAAGATATAGTACACAATAAAGATGCCTGAATACAATAGTTTCGATTTGTTTTATTCAAACTGATCAATGGTCAGATTATATTCCAACCATCCAAGCCAATCAATAATCAATACTGATTGTTAACGAGTTCCAACTAGTATAAAACCTAAATCTAGGGTAACCAAAACCGTTATGAACGATTAACTAACATTAACAAATGTATTTTACTAATAATCCAATGATATAGTCGTTATCTATTTAAAGGGTATACTTGAATTAAATTTAACTGTTGCTTATAATTATAAAGTTCAGCTTATATATATTTGCATATAATAAAGAATTCCCAAACCTTTTTCTTTTATTTCTCCAGTCCACCAAATAGTACATCAACTGATCAATTGAAACATTCACATAGTTGGGATCATTTAACACCTTCTGAAAAAGAAGAACGTATTCGAATGAAATTAGAACAAGTTAGAATAACTGAAAAAGAACGAAAAAAAGCTATTCTAGCTGCACGAAGGCGTCAACGTGAAGCATTAAAACCTAAAGTATAATACATAGATATACACTTAAAGATAATTTTATAATTTTTGACGATATTATATACTTAGACTTACACAACTTTCAACAGTAAGGACAATAACTGTAACAGAATGATACACATTTGTTTACTTCATGGATCTTTTCAACTGCTTGCAATATAGGAATACGAGTCTTATTTATCTAAAATTATCGGTATGGAGATTAATGGAGATTGCAATAATTCAACAGTCAAGTTCACCAGTCTATCTAAGTTAAACTGCCACTAGAAAGCCGTTTCGTCCTAGTGTAGGACTCCGCAGCAGTGCAAATCCACAATCCCAATATTAACACCTTTAAATGCCAGAACATGAGACCAAATGTTCTGGGTTCGAGTCATGCGTGCGGGATCGTGGATGAACACCACTGAAGAAGTCCATACTAGAACGAAAGGGATGTCCAGTGCTTCCAGGTTTTTAATGATGTTCTAGCTTAGATCGACTCTTGAATTCAACTGTTATTCAAAATTACTGTACATACTTTGTTTCATACTGTTGTGATCGAAAACACAGGTGGGGATGACCAATTGTATTTTAACACAAAATTACAGAGTTCTTTCATTTAAGAATCTTCCATCAATTGTCTCAAACTTCATCTTTACTTCATTTCCATAACAACTACTCTCTGCTTTTGTTCTTTTTGATTCGATCATCTCAACCTTCTGCTGTCATGTTTTCCACTTTCGATTAATGTCACATACTACTTATATCTGTCAACATAAGTAGCTTACATCACAATACTACCAGAAATGTTCGCATCAATAAAAACTAGATACGGTAAATATGCTATAATCATAAGAAATATTTATATAATTTGAATAAACAAATAATACGGATAATTGAGAAGAAAATATGATAAATAACTACGCTGTTGAACGAATGTCCACCTCTTAGTTTCAATTTCTATGCAATGTACTCTGAGAATAATAAGCTTTCTCGCACTTCCTTCAATGAATATCCTTTAGCACGTACGATTAAACTGGTAAATATCATTGGAAATAACATACACCATACACATTTTTCAGTATGGTGGTAGCGCAGATAGTTGAATTTTATTGAGATCACCGGCCAATTTAAGTTAGACAAACACTGATAACCTGGAAGTACAGGGCAGTTGTTTTTTCTCAGTACGAGACTCCTCAACAGTGCACACGCGAGCCCCCATCTCCGAGGATTGAATCAAAGGAAAGTATTTTAGACGAGTGGAATTATAATAACTGATAGAACCAACCGATTATCAGCCAAAAACTGAAAGGACCATTTTACTATTCAAAAGAGACATTTTTCGAATGCAGTTTAGAAAGTACGATCATAAAACCAAACCTAATATTTTTTTATTCTTGAATTTTGTGATACATTGATTGATCAGGAAGTCAGACTAATACATCTGCATTATGTGGAACATAAGCAAGGTGTACGATCAGTCTTGATGGAACTAATACTTTCAATAGTGTTTAAACCCTTGCCATCCATCTTCACAGTATAATCCACAACTGAGCGATTCGTGCCTAGATTAATCAACCAACCTTAATAATATTGCACTCTATATTACAACTTGATCGATAGAATACCATTAAAGTTGATGAATAGACGAATAGGTTTGTTCTCTGAGCTGGATGGCTTGGTCGTGGAGCTTTCATCGTCCTTCTGAACGACATCATCAGCACAAACTTCGGATAAAAGTGAAGTGTTTGAATTTCTCCATATATCATTCACAGTTTGTCCTGTGCACGTCGATGTTGATTGGTTCTTATTGACTTTAAATCTGTCATTGTTTATTTCTTTGTTTTGGTTGTATCTCTTATTGGTTTGATTTTTGTTCCTATTTTTCTGCATCAACATCGAGATGCACAGGACAAGCTGTGAATCACATGTGAAAAAATTCAAACTCTTCACTTCTACCCGAATTTTGTGCTGATGATTTCGTTCAAAAGGACGATGAAATCTCCACGATCAAACCATCCAGCTCAGAGAACAAACCCAAGTCAAAATCACCCACCTGAGCTACAAATCTTCTCCACTATCTCAATAGACGAATAACATTGTTTGCTTATTAGTATCAGATATTTCAATAACTTATTAATGTTTTGTTTCAAATATTGTCTTTTATTTTTCAGAAACAAGATAGTTCGGTATCAGGATTAGTTAAATTAACCGAGGTTTGTTCTATTTGAGGACTTTTTTCAGTACATTGGATATCTTCTTAACATTGATAATTAAACGCTGATAAGACATTGGACTCAACATTGTCGATTATCAAATAAATCCTTCTTGTGAAATATATATACATATATATACGATACTTGGTAGTAGTTGAAAACAATCGGCAGGTAGACTTACATTTCTATAAAAGAACAATTGCAGTTGGAATTTGAGCAATGAACTATAAAAAATTGTTGCAATTTAAATTCAACATTAGTATAGGGCTGTGGATATTGTTGAGTTTTTATTTTGATCATGAATCGATCAATGTTAGATAACCATTGAGAAGCTGGAAGCACTAGAGAGCCGTTTCGCCCCAGTATGGAACTCCTCATCAATATGCATCCACGATCCCCCACCTGAGATCCGAACCAAGTACCACCTATCTCTATACCATTGAACCGGAATCCAACAATGTTAATGTCTAAATTCGAACCAATCCACGATATTGCACGAGAGGTAATTCTCGGAGTTGTGATGAGGAACCATGACTAGTGGAGCTATTCCTTATCGGATGTGGGTCATTTACTTATCAAAAGCAATAGAAGATGGTCTCGTAATATTTTGGATTGATTGAACTTAGATATTTACACCGATGAATGCTGGTTCAGTGGTCTAGAGGTTAGGCGTTCTGTCTTGAGGCAGAAGGTGCTAGTTTCGAGTCCCATATGCCGGGTCGTTGGTGTGAAATGCTAAGAAGTTCCATACTAAAACTGTCTAATACCTTCAGGTTAAGAGTGTCTCATGAATTTTAGAAATCCTTAGGTTTTCCTAACAAATTCCACAATACTACTAAACACATAGTAACAGTGTAGTAATCAGTCAATCAAAAACATTCACATGTAACTTTTCATTTTCACTATACTCCTAGAAAAATTTCTAATCAAACTGTGATTTGATAAAATTCTATTTAGTGTTGTATCCCCTGGCGAATTATGAATCATAAATCTGATGTCCATTTATGGACAAATGTAATACGCCTATTCCTATTGGATAGTTGTTAAATGAGTAACCTAAATCTGATGGACAAATACAATATGCCCATTCCCTATTGGATAGTTGTTAAATAAGTGACCTAATCGTATTCGTGTTCCTCTTATCATAACCTTTATTTTGACCTTGGAACTATTATTATTGATTACTTTCCCCCTAGCTACAGCCACATTGGCCAATTACTGTACAAATGTTATTTTTCTATTTTTGATATATGTGGTCTGTTTGGTTAGTATATATAACCCAGTATGCTTGTGAATAATGATTCATATTGCTGAGGCTGTTATTTGTGTTCTGCACTAACGGGCTGGGCTAGGCAGATAGGAAGGACCGAACAGCACCCAAGACTGCTCGTACGTATTTTCTGTATCATTGCACGTTTCATATACAATAACGATTGTTATACGTTCATAACATTTAGTGTTTTCCTAAGCTTGTTATATCTATTGCAAAAGATCTTTTTTTCTTTTTTGGGATCATCTCAACAATTATAGTTTTATATTCTTATTAAAAATTATTCTAATTTAAATATAAATATAAAATTCATTAGTCTAATGAAGAAATTAAAATAATAAAACAAACAGTAAATCAAATGGAATTACAATCAAAAAGAAGATCAAATCAAATAGTGTTCAATTTGAAATTTATGCTTGATAATAAATTGTAAGTAGTATATAAGTAGAATATTATAATTTCACTTTTATTTTAAAAAAATTCCTAAATCAAAATATAAATTAGAAAATATATAAGTATATATATATGGATAGTTCACTTGGTATTGTTTGTTTGGATCTTTCCATCGATGTGTTTTGGACTGCAACTGGTCAGTCTCTAATTGGCACACATCGATGGGAAGATCCAAACAAACAATACAAAAGTGAATTCAAACTTCACCCCATCGCATAAGCAAGTGGCTATCAGGACTCAGTGGCCGAGTGGATAACGTGATGGTGTTTGAAGCGAGGGTACTGGGTTCAAGTCCCAGAGTGAACATCAACTTTGAGATGCAGGTACATCCAGCTGACGAGTCCCAAATAGGACGAAACGCGCGTCCTGAATTCCACTGCTAGCCACTATCCATCTCTGCTTAATATGGATAGTTGTTAGTAGTGGAATATACAGCACGTGTGGTAATTTGTCCTATTTGGAACTTATCAGCTTGATGTATTTACATCACAGAGTTGATGTTCATTATGGGACTTGAACTTAATACTTTTTCGCTTGAAACACCATCACGTTATCTATTCAGCTACTAAATCCTGATAGTCACTTGCTTGTGCAATAGAGTGAAGTTGAAATTTACTTAGTATTGTTTGTTTGAATCTTTCCATCCATCTTTGTTTACCATGCTTGTGAATTAAGGCTATATTGATGCATTACGCACAGTATGCATATATGGCCAATTAGAGACTGATCAGTTGCAGTCCTTAACATCAATGTGAAGATTAAAGCAAACAATATTAAGTGAATATAAAATATGATCTTTTCATGTGATTAGATAGATTGGTCACTAGTACATAATGTCATTGAAAGCAATGATTACTTACTTACTTACCCCTGTTACTCCCAATGGAGCATAGGCCGCCGACCAGCATTCTCTAACCCATTCTATCCTGGGCCTTCTTTTCTAGTTTTATCCATGATAGATTAAGAGAAAAAAATATCGAAACCTCGAATAGAGGTTTTTATATTATATTAAGGCAATGAAATGAATTCAAGTTACTAAACATGAAATACTGTAAAGCTTCTATGCTTAAAAAGAACAGTTTTTTTAAATTGTATTGTGATATATATGATCAGGCTGTTTGCTATGGGAGTAGTTATATTACCTTATCAGAGTACTGACTTATTCGACTCTATTTCCTATACGATTAATGACCTCATTATCCAGTAAATCAATGTTTTAGTAACCGTAAATATTGATTAGAGAATCTTAAGGCTCATTGATTCATGAGGCCCATTTAATCAAAAGATGAATACAGCGTGCAGATTAATACTCTCTTTTACTCTATACATTCATAACTCAAAACTCATACAATAATATACATCGAGCACCTGACAGCTAAACAACATAAGTAAGCAATTACAATGTGATACATTTGTGTTGTATCCGCATTGCCTATTCTTATACTTGAAAGAACAAGGGAACCATTGCAATTCCCGCGACATGAAGTGGGGACAACCGAATGTGCATAACCACAAATTATAGACTATCTCACTAAATTCTGATAACCATACAATGAATAGTTAATTTGCAAACTAACCAACAATTGTCTCAATCTTCACTGTTCCATCTGCAAATATCAGTCCGTCTTCTCTCATTTCATTGTTCATGCATTTTCATACCAATTGCGCTTCATTCTTCTTCTTTCCTTATTGATCTTCTGCCAAAATACATTCTATGTCTGACCATCACTATATACTACTTATGTGGATATAAGTAGACCACACCACAGTAATACTAAGACTGGTACAATGGAAGATTTATTAAACCCAAAACACGGCGATGACCCTAGTCGAAAATGTAATAATTACTTGTTCGTACAGCCATCTTCATTATTAATTAGGATGAAATCATATATATGGAAAATACTTACCGTTGAATCATATACTACCTGTCATGCTGAGCATAGTCCATGTTAATTTAATACAAGAATATTGTACCCTGAACAAATATTGAACTCAAATAAATTAATATAATGCCGATGAGACTATAATTTATAGACGATCTTTGAGCAACCCTAAAGTGACCTTAGGAATGTCCACCTAATGACTAGAACTAAATGACGGTTATAAACCAGTGTGAGAAATTAGAATTATGATTCACAGATGCTGGTTAAGGTTAGGAATTAGATTTAGAGTTTCTATCACGAACTGACATCAACTAAAATGCCAAAAATTCTATTCAACCAAATGGATGAATGAAGTTCGTGCCAAAATCACAGATCCTTTGTCTTATAACTGATTGGTTCATCTATAAATTATAGACCCGCCAAAAATAAGTCTATAAATTAAATGATTCCTTACAACTAGAAGAATATAAAAGTATAATCATTCAAATGTCTAATAATTTTGCAATATTGATTTAAACAGTAATTCTTCATGGTGTAATGAACAAAACACTGGTTGGGGACAATCGAATGTATTTTAACAAACATTACAGACTATCTCGGTAAATTCTGATAACCAAACAATGAACAGTCAATTTGCAAATTAACAACCAATTGTTTCAATCTTCACTGTTTCTTCTCTAATTCCATTGTTCATGCATTTTCCAAACGATTGCGCTTCATTTCAGTTCTTTCCTCATCGGTCTTCTGCCAAAATACATTCTATGTCTGACCCACACCATACACTACTTATGTGGATATAAGTAGACGACACCACAATGGAACTATTTCACACGTCCTCGTCGTGCCTCCAAATAATGAGACTGTTCCCACGAACTAATCTGAGCGGTACCTCGGATGGTGGAGATCGGCCTAATCATCCACTATACTTATACCCACAACTGATTACGAAAGCTACAAAGAATCATTACACAATTATTATTGGTTCAAAAAGAAACAAATAAAGAATAAATGAGTGCGCCTAAAAAAATGTAATGATTATGTTTAGAAAGTGCAAAAACAGCTTATGAGCCACAGTAGTTTTGTTTTGCTTTGATGTAGCATTCTTCTTCAGAAGAGCCTACGAGGCTTCACCATGTTACAATGGCTGGAAGGGGACACATTTCAAAAATTATTTACGTTACAACTACTGGAAATAAATATCAACAAAGAGAATTCAGCGAAGAAAATGAAGTCTTCTTTACGAAAAAATAATTTACTTAAGCTGTACATTTGTATTTCTAGTTATATGGAAAATATATAAGTCTATAGAATGATAGTAAAGATTACGTCATAAATTGATCCAAGACTCTTATTATTACATGAAGTTACGCAATAATTAAGGCATAAGAAAAGAATTATGGAAGATCATTGTCTAATTGAAAGATATGAAGAAAAATGAAAAGTCAGAAGGGATTTTTGTGGAGATTTCAATATTTTCATAGTTGAAATCATGAGTCAATTGAAGCTAGACCACCAAGGAAAATCTGGAAGCACTGGACGCCCGTTTCGTCCTATTATGGGACTCCTCAGCAGTGCGCATCGACGATCCCGCACTCGCAAGATTCGAACCCAGGACCTACCAGTCTCGCGCCAGAGCACTTAACTGATTATAATCATATGCTCACTAGTGACTGACTTCGAGAGGTAAATCATGGAGTTCAAGTGAGAAGCAGTGACCAGTGGGGTTCAAACCACGTCTGTTGTGAGATAGGAACTCATTAAAGACAATTGGTGAATGGTTGCTTAACTTCGTGGATCAGTTGAAGTTAGACATTAACACCGTTGGATGACAACCGGCTCAGTGGTCTATCGGTTAAGTGCTCTGTCTCGAGACTGGTTGGTCCTAGGTTCGAATATCGCGAGTGCACGTTCGTAGATGCGCACTGCTGAGGAGTCCAATAATAATAGGACGAAACGGCCGTCCAGGTTTTCCATGGTGATCTAGCTTCAATTGACTCATGATTTCAACTATGAAAAAATGAAAAACATAAATATCATCCAAACAATTAAGTAATAACCATGAGAAATTGTTAAAGGATAATAATAATGTTGTGATGATCTAGAAAATTTCTCTCAATAGACAATAAAGGCTCAGGAAACATTAGGAAATCTTTTATCCAATCAGCATTTAACTGAGAAGTTTGGCTAGAAACATCAAGAAAGTGAAAAATCACATGTAGGGTTTCTGATTGACTGACTACTACACTGCTACTGTGTTTAGTAGTACTCTAGAATTTTCAGGAAAACCCAAGGACTTCTAAACTACTATAAAAACCCTATATTTTCTGTACATAAATGAACCTTTGGAGAAAAGTGCTTCCCGCACATTTTGCGCCTTTTCTCTCGTGTTTAAGTCTCTGTGTAGATTCAGCTTGGGGTTAATGAGACTAGCTTAGGATCCCAATGTAGCGTTCAATTAACAAGACTTATCACCCACCTCAACATAAGGTGTTTGGTGGTGTAGAAGAAAGCGGAACGAAATTTAGGGATGACCAAGTCAGGACATTATATCAATCAAAGAAATCATTAACTGTTGGTTTGAGATATGTTGGTAGATACGAACTATCTGACTTAGGTTCCACGCGGTAACTGTAATTATTGGTCGGAGACTGTGAATGATATAACTGTGAATTATCCACAGTGGCGCAGATACATTCACTTTTAATCTTCTTGAAATTGGATTTCAGTTTTCCTTCAGATATATCTTTCAACCCTGTCTTTTTGAACCATATTCTTCATGTTCAGTATTTCTTATTGTCAATGCTTCTGCAGTATTTCTACTTTTTTTACCATTCATCTTTACATTCCCATCTAGTCGTATTAATATTGTATGGCAACTTGGATCACAGCATATTTATGTTAGTCTCTACGTTGGTGATCACTGACCGACTGCATTTATGAATAACCCACTACCGTTGAGCACCAAAAACTGATTAATTAATTACTATAAGATAATATTTTTCATACTCATTAAGATCCTATTTAGAATAGATCTATGCTTCTACAATGAAGCCTGATGCAATTAGCCTTTTGGTCAGCTATACCCACAATTAATCAACTTGTTAGCTCGGTTATGGTATATATTGGACAATTATTTATTTATCGTTTTGCCAGTTACATTCCACTGAAATAAATCTACTGGTAGTGGTCAAAGTAATGTGTCGTCCCTCAATGAACAGGGATTGTCCGGTCAAAGTAATTATAAGATTGATCAGTGAGCGAAGACAAATAAACATTCAACTTAGCTAAATATTTTGACACGTTTATTATTGTGAATTTATTTCTATCACTGATTTCTGCTTTGGACTGAATGTGTATAGACTTCTTCTACTTTGTGTGAATAAATTGTTCTGTGTCTAAAATCTGATTCTTCCTTGTTAATCGAGGACTGTACCCGTGTTTACCATGTGATCTAGAACAATGGCCCAGTTAGATTACTCAGTCGACTATATGATATATCCTATCCCTGTTCTGATTATGGATTGCATTGTCTAAGTGAAACGAGCAAACAGTTCAATTGTTCATTTATATCACAAGGATTATAAGATTTCATCTTAACCAAACTCACAATATACATCTATGTTGCGACTTTATAAAAGAAGAACAAGGCCGTATACCAATTTGTTGTGGTCTTATGTCCGGCTTTTTTATCACTTGAATTATCCATCAATCGGAATACGAATTGTCTAATCTTAACTCTGTGCCAAATCAATGACGTTCGACCAGTATGATCAGTCTAGCGTCCTAATTGGTCCCTTGTCCGTCTAGCCATTCCAATTGAGTCCAGAACACCAATGACAGCTTCTGCTATACGAATCATTTATTTCAAGCATACTCTGTTTATATATCAGACAGACAGACCAGATCACACCACAAAATAGGAAATAATATTTGTACAAGATCAAGACAAATGTGGTTGTGAACATGGGATACAATAATCAATAAACTGAACATAATTTGAGAACAGTAAATCGTATAATGACAATTCATAGGTCAAAACGAAGCTTATAGTATGAGGAATATAGATACATAAAATCGAGTTACTCAATAGTTAAACAGTAAAAATATATATAGAATAATCGTCCATTAATAGATCCCGGAAGTTATGCTTACTTAAATCTTCACTAGGATATAAAACATGTTATCTACCTAGATTAATTCAGCTGATGAGTTCTAACCGGTACAAAACGTCCTTAGTCTATTAATGGTTCCCAGAAGTTACCTGTACTTACATCTTCACTAAGATATAACCATCTACATATTACTTTAACTGCAATTTTGTTCATTAACTGTTGTTTGTTTGTTTGTTTTTATACATTAACCTTTATATTCATTTACATATTACCATATCAACAATCTACATATATAGATTAATTTCATTATTTCATGAATGGATCAAACTATTGGATAAATCAGAAATCAATAATAATAATAATAATCCATCAAATCATTTAGCATTTATATTAGAAGTAAATCAATATTTAATCATGTCGAAAAATCAATTAAATATAGAAAAACTTAAATATCGAATCAATAAAGCAAATTATATTTATAAGTAAGTTACCCAGATTATTTGTTTGTAAAGAAGTTATTATCAGTAAAGGGGGTTTTAATGGAGATTTTTAGTAATTTTAGTCAATTGAAGCTAGACCACCATAGGAAACCTAGAAGTATTGGATGGGTGTTTCGTCCTATTATGAGACTCCTCAGAAGTGTGCATACATGATCCTGTCTCGCGAGATTCGAACCTAGGACCTATCAGTCTCGGAAGCAAGCGCTTAACCTCTAGACCATTGAGTTGGCATCCAATGGTATTAATGTCTAACTTCAACCAATCTGTTTAGTGCTTTCAGGTTTTCCATAGTAGTCTAGCTTCAATTGACTAATGAGTCGTTGTTTTACAATAGAGTCCATGACTGATAAGATAAACAATTTTAACGAATAACATTTTAAAACTTTCAAATGTTATAACATGAGAGGTTTATTGATTGATATTTGATAGATTGATCCAACTATTCCTTAAATGGGATCGCAAGCACCTATTTTCATTGACAAATTGGTTGATGCTGAGATTTAAGACTTATCGTTAAAGTCTTCGGGATCTTTTTTATTTCCTGAGCCACAAATAAGCGAATAAGATGAACAATGATTAATTTTTTTGGAATTGGACATATTAGGTTCTCAAAACATTGATCCTAAACGTCTTATAAAACTCATACAGTTTAAAAGAGTTAACATAGGACCAATTCTCCATATATCTTTGTATGTAATCAATAGTTCTAAATGAGTCACCCTTAATCCCGCATCATTTAGTATACTTAATCGTTTCATTTATTACAGATTGATATCTGCTTGAAAACTATCAGAAAGCAGAAAGCATTAGATAACTGTTTCGTCTTGTCATAAGATGCCCCAGTAGTTTGCACTCATAACCTTTCCAGTGATCAAACCTGGGGACATTCAGATCTCTCAGAAAGCACCTAATCAATAATCTTAGATGTTTTTAGTTCAAAAGTAGACAAACTAATAAATTTTCTTCAAACAAAATATTTAACTAAGCAGCTATATCACCGAATAATGTAGTTGAAAACTGAGGGAATTTCCTCCTCCTCCTCCTGAGTGGTCTGCTATACTCACGTTGTAGGTATACTAAGCATACACTAATAATAATCATAAATTCTAAGTCTAGCACCATCTAATGCTATACACCGACTCTCGAAATACAAAGATCTGATTGATAGGGCGAGACTAAACTTTATGGACGACCTTTGAATGAATCTTAAACGACCTTGAGAAATATTAGTCAATCAGAAGACAGTTAGTATACAGTAAAAATATACTATACAAAACTAAAAAATTAAATGGGATACTGTTCTTTTACATGGCTTAAAAACTTCTCAAGGTCAGATATAAGTTCAGAAGTTCCAAAATTATAGTGCATACGGTACAGGAACTCATCCATATGGCTCCATAGTAGTTGACCTCTGGAACCATGATAAGGTCTCAAAAATTCTTTTAGCCTTGACCACACAGCTTCAATGTTGTTGGTATGGCTTAAGGTTAGGGTTTAGGCTTAAGGTTAGGGTTTAGGGTTGGGGTGTTAACCTTAATCGTGATCGAGCGAAAAATGTCATTTGAGTACCACAGTCACAAGTATAGGAACTTCTTAATAATCACTTCTTTTGTAGACGCTGAATTATCACGTCTACTCTAAAATCCACTGTAAATTAATCGTGCGTAAGCATCAGGTACCGAACTTAGCGCCGTGACCTTGAAAACCCGCGAAAGCTTCTGACTGGCTCGTCCATAAAGTTTAGTCCCGCCATTGATAGTACAAAGAAAACTAATCATTTTCTTGTTATATTTGTTAGTAATTATCTACGTATCTCATGTGAAAAGCCAATAGAATTGCCAGAAAAGTTTATCAAACGATTAGATCAAGAAAAAGATCGTCCAACATCAGCTACATTAAAAGGTCTCCGAGATCATCATTTAAACAACCTTGATTCCTTATTTAATGAATTTTTAAATGTAAGTTAACCTTTTTATTGAAACTACTTATCCTTTTACTTGGTATTGTTTGTTTGGATCTTCCCATTGATGTTTTTAGGACTGCAACTGGTCAGTCTCTAATTGGCATATGTGCATACTGTGCGTATTGCCTCAATGTAGCCTAAATTCACAAGCATGCTAAGCAAAGATGGATAGTGGCTAGCAGTGGAATCCAGGACGCGCGTTTCGTCCATTTTGGGACTCGTCAGATGAATGTACTTATCCTTTTGTAAAGATAAATTCTTAAACTGAATGTCAGTATCTAGGTAATTTATTCTATTTTCATAGTCACATAATCTAAGCCAGAGCGATAAAGCCTCTGATTGCACTATATACGTGTCATATTTTTGAATCATCTTCAGTTGTTCATGTAATGTAAAATAGAAATCAATCTCAGAGAGCTGCTCAAATTACACTTGTGTACTACTTAAACCATATTAAGTGACAAAGACATTCAGCTAAACGTCCACTGCCCATTTATTTGTCCTAAAGTTTGTATTAGGCTGTCGTAAAAGTACAGGCATCTATAAACAGTTGTCTACACTGGATACTCCAGGTCCGTTGACCAGGCACCATCATCAACAACGTGCTGTGGCAGAGAACGAACTGACCTCTAGCTGGGAGTGAAATTGGGAAAAGACTCTGAAGTTGGGTAGGACATACATTGTTGAAATAATCAAACTGCATTACATAGTAAGCCTCAACTTGAAATCCTGAATGCAAAAGGAAGAGGTAGACCAAGGAATACATCACACCAGGAATCGAAGACAGACACCAAAAGAATGAATAGCACTTTAAAACAACTGGAGAGGATGAACCAGGACAGAGCTAATCATAAATTTATTGTCGATGCTCCACGCTCCATGAGGAGTAACACGTGTAAGTTAGTACCCCCTGAATACCAATCAATGTAAACTTTTCTTCCAAACCGAAGGTTAATCGTAGGCCGAATTACTCAGTGGTGACATTTCTAGCTTCAACACAATATCCAGATCCAAGTTTAGCCACTCAATATCACTGATATCATAGTAACTTCCTGTATTGATAAACCAGACCTGTACTAAACAGTTCATTTTATGAACTATTTATCAAATTGAATTTACACCAAATGTTTGTTCTCTTATAAATCTTTGAATATATTTTTCTTCTTTAGGTAACAGCTGAAAAGCTTGGTTTATCAGTGTCCCAACTTTGTCAAATGCCTGAAATAGACTTAGCCCCATTAGTTGTAACTCCAAAAACATTTAATCAGACTATGGAAACAAAACAGGTAATATTATTTCTTGTTTATTGAATGTTTTCATAGTATTTTTAATCAATTCTGAGACGTTTTATTCTCTTTATTCGAACAGTTAATTGTCATCTTCATCAGTTTCCTGTCCAATATCCATTCAGAACGTTTTCAGCTAAAAGCCTCTATCTATGGTCTGATTATCTAACTTTTTGATGCTATAAACATTTTCGTGAACTGAATACGTACTAAATGATTTAGGATAAGCCCCCAAATGCCCTGGTACGGTCAAGAGTGGAGAAAGTCAGCTCTCCGTCCCGAAATGCTCTCACATGACCACGTGCATGCAATCACTGCCAGGAAAGTCCTACTCACTGCCATCTCGTGGCATTACTGTTGTTAACAAAATTGAGAGGACGGAAAGCGAATATCCTGCGCTATAATCGGGTTGGTGGACACGGCGTATCCACCTAGGGGAGTTGGAAAACCCTGATTCCAAACCAATGGTGTACATGGGCTCCAGTATCCTGAGGGAACAAATGGCGTATGAATCAATCGTTGGTCACCATCTACCATGGGACTGCATCTCCTTACGATGTTCCACTGCCTTGTGGGTCAGACCTTTCGGTCAAAGGCTCCGGGTGTGGCCCCCTAAGAAAACCACCTGCTTCGGTCTGGGCACTCGGACAGTACCACAGCTATCACACAATGAAATGAAATGACAATTTTTTATGTGGTCCATATATATCTGGTGCTCCCTTTTACCAATATTAATGTGTTCAAATAAATAATAAGTAAATGATTTAGGATAAAATTTATAAAACTGAACGTTTTCCCTCCCTTTCTGTGTACTTTATTAAAGCCATTCTTAAGAGGTCATATTCACGTAAGTGAGTAGAAAACATTTACAACGCGTACTATGATTTAGAAGATATCACAAACGGGTAATAATAACAAACGGAAATGAATTAGGTTAAACAGTTAAAAAGTACATAAGCTGAAATACAATAAATTAGAGAAATAAATACGAATATAAGTAGAGATAGGAAATAATTGACAATATTAATTTGTTTCGATCCGATCAATCTTCGATTATAATTTATGTCTTTAGCATAATTGAACATAAAATAAGCTACTGATTATTATTTGTTTATTTATTTATTTAAACACATAAATATTGGTACAAGGAAGCACCAGATAAATATGCGCCAAACAAATCTCATCCGATTTGCTTGAGGACTGTGATACTGCCCAGGTGCCCGAACTGAAGTAGGTGGTTTTCTTAGGGGCCCACACCCCGAGCCTTTGACCGAAAGGTCTGATCCACAAGGCAGTGGAGCATCGTGAGGAGATGTAGTCCCATGGTAGCCGTTGACCAGAAGCAGGTTCATTCGCCATTTGTTCCCTCAGGATACTGGAGCCCATGTACACCATTGGTTTGGAATCAGGGTTTTCCAACTCCCCTAGGTGGACCCTCCGTGTCCACCAACCCGGTTAAAGCACCGGACATTCGCTTTTCGTCCTCTCACTTTCGTAAACAACACCCCCGCCACGAGATGGCAGTGAGTAGGACCTCCCTGGCAGAGGCTATATATTCGCTGGCCATGTGAGAGCATTTCGAGAGGGAGAGTGGACTCTCCCCACTCTCGACCATACCAGGGCATTTGGGGGGGCTGATTTTTAGTAAGTAGTAAGCTTAATACACAAAAAGAAATCATCAAGGAAATAATGAATTCCGAAAATTTAAAACAGATTTTTATATCGTTTGAATTATAAGCGGAAACAGATGAATCGAGAAGTTTTTAACCTATTGATAGATGAAATTGTTTTTTTATTAATTGAAATCAGTTGGATTTCATTGAAAACAATTAAATTCATTGATGGATGGTGGCTAGCAGTGGAATCCAGGACACGCGCCATTTCGTCCTATTTGGGACTCGTCAGTTGGATGCACCTGCATCTCAGAGTCCATGTTCACTCTGGGACTCGAAACGCGCATCCTGTATTCCACTGCAAACCACTATCCATGATTGCATATAAAGCTTGTGACTTCAGGCAATATCGAGGCAGTCTGCATAGGATGCACATATGTCAACAAGAGACTGATTAATTGCAGTCCAAAATAACAATGTGAAGATACAAGTAAACAACACCAAGTGAAATTAGATTCATTATACAAATAATGGTAAATATATTCCGATTCGTATTAGTAACAATCAATCTGTTGCATTTTATGGTCGGTCAGTCATTTATAAACAATTTAATACATCAGAGAAATGTCCCATACTTCATTCATATCAACACAATATAACAAAGAAATTGAAGTCAAAGTAGCATCACTGACAGTAGGAAATATGATTTGAAGTCAACAGATGCGATAAAGGAATAGAAAAATAAAGAAATTATATTAATACTTAATATTTAAACTAGTCATCTAACATCTCTAACCACTGATTATCATTGTTGCCCTGATCCCAACTGGGTAACCTAAATCTTTACTATTCACCTCACTACAACTTCATCAATAGAACTGATAATTTTATTTAGCATTCTACTCCTGGACTCAGCAGTAATTATTTAATGGTCTCATCTTATGCTTGATTTTACTGATTTTCCCTTTTTTCTCAACTCCGTTTTACCATTTCATTAAAGGGTTTATTGCTGGGAACAAAACATCGAACCACATGTTAAAGTTATTGTAAAACGTCAATTTTCTAGGTTCTAGGGTCGTGAGAAAACACTTTTAATAACTCCTAAATCATAGTATGACAAATGTTCAAAGGTCGACATTTCCCAATACTTTTACCGTTTATGTCAAATATTTGAAAGCGTGAGTCAATTGAATCTAAACCACCAGAGAAAACCTGGATGGCCGTTTCGTCCTATTGTGGGACTCTGTAACAGTGCGCATCCATGACATCACCTCGCGAGATTCGAACTCAGGATCTCTGGCGCGAGACAGGTAGATCTTGGGTTCGAATCTCGCTCGCGAGGCGAGGTCGTGGATGCGCACTGCTACAGAGTCCCACAAAATACTAAATCTCCACACACACACACACAAAATACCCTTCTGATAATATGTCAAATATGATAAGGTTTGTAAAAATAATCAAACTACATTAGATCATTGGTTTACATTGACCATTTATTTCTATTTATTGATTAAATTTATAAATTTAGAAATTTTCTATCAAAATGAGACCAACATTAGAAGATAAAGAAGAATTAACAAAATTATTAAAACAAGCTGCTTTTCAACCGCTTGATTTTAAATTAATACTATTCTATCAATATTTAGTTGATTATGGATATAAAGAAAATTGTCCATTCATTGATCAAGATTTTATATTTCATATTGAAATTTTACGTTTTGAAGTAAGTTAATTTTTGTTATATCCTTAAATCTGTGTACCCACTTTAGTGTTGAGTATTACTTGTCTAATGTAGATTAAGACCTTGACACGATATGCTGATTGGCTTAACCTTGAGGCTAGTATGCGTGAGTTCGATGTGGGGGGGGCAGAGAGACGAAAACTATTTTATCACCTGATTGGCTAGCAAGCACGAGAGAGAGAGAGAGAGTGAAGACAAGGACAACTGGAACACTAATCATTTTATTCCAATCCCGATCTAGCACTTGAATTCCGAATTCAGATTAGTGCATAAAGATATATGAATAAATAGATGACTTACCTGACCACAACGTACAATAATTAGGAAAATACAATTATGTCCAAAACTGGGGGATTAGAGTAGAAAATAGAGTACAAAATGTTACGTCTAAATTACAATAGTTTTGGAATAGAAAATGCTATGTCAGTGAATCATACATCAAACGAAAGCTTATGATCTGTAGAATAGATTGAGGACCAAATTAAGTGTTACAGTTTTACAAGCTTTGAATTAAATGAAATAAGGTCCCCAAAAATAGCTTCCGTAGTTTGTTAAGGCCTCTTGTTTCGCGATTCATATCAGTTTTTATTGTTAGAACGGGGTTTCTTATGGAGATTTTTAGTAATTTTATAGTTTAAATCATGAGTTAATTTAAGCTAGACATTTGAAGTTAGATATTAACCTTAGGATGCCTGCCGGCTCAGTGGTTCTAAAAGTTAAGCGTTCAAGCGCGAAACTGATAGATCCTGGGTTGGAATCTCGCGAAGCGGGGTCGTAGATGCGTACTGTTGAGGAGTCCTACATTAGTTTCTATTAGTTGAATAAATCATATTTATATCGATGCTAATATATGAAACCTTAAAGCTAGGAATTTGATTGCAAAAGGGAACGAATTATTTTCCAAAATGATACTAATCATTCAGAACTATTCTCTTTATGAAATAGTTTTGTATATTTTTCTTTATATGTACATATATGAAATACTGTAATGAACAAGTACTCGCGTGCGGACAATCAAATCTATTTGAGCACAAATTACGGACTATTTCACTAAATTCTGGTAACCATACAGTAAACAGTTAATTTGTAAAATAACAAGCACTTGTCTCAATCTTAACCGTTTCTTCTGTAAATATCAGTTCATCTTCTCTGATTTCATTATTCATGCATTTACATACCAATTACGCTTCATTCCTGTTCGCTCCTTATCGATCTTCTGCCAAAATGCATTCTATGTCTGACCATCACCATATACTACTTATATCGATATAAGTAGACTACACTAAAATACTACTTAATAATGGTTTTCATTTAAATGTTAATTTCATTACAGGAACTTCATCGGGGTCATGTTGAACACAATTTAATAAAGAAGAAAGTTTTATGTATTTTACAAACATTTTTAGAATCCGTTTGTCCACCACAAATTCAAGTAAGTTAAGTGTTGTATCCCGAAAAGAATTATGAATGGTAACTTTAAGGATTATTTATGGACCAATATGATACGTATATTTCCTATTGTATAATTGTTAGGTAACTTAAGTATTCATATTAATGTTCCTTTTATTATGAGCTTTATTTTGACCTATGAACAATTATTATACGATTTACCATTCTTGAGTTATCCTTAATCCATTAATTACTGTTCACAGCCACATTTGGCCAAATCTTGTACAAATGTTATTTTCTATTTTATGGTACGATGTGGTCAGTTTGATTGGTATAGAAACTCAGTATGTTTGAAATATAATGATTCATAGCGCAGAGACTGTTATTGATGTTCTGGACTTAACTGGCTTGGCTGGGCATACGCAGGACCGGCAAGTACTCTAGACTACTCGTATGGTTTCCATGTGTCATTTGGTCCGATCAATAATTCGCTGCTCTCTTATTGGCGGTCTTATCACATTATACATTAACAGTGCATCCAGGTGGTCCACAAGTTATAACAATCACTATGATGAAATAGTGTACCAAAACCTAAATTGATGTACACATGTGCCTGACTGATAAAAATGTGATTTACCATAATAATACTTTCCAACAGTTCAGTTCCAAAGTTATACAATCCATATATACTACTACTGACTGGTAAATCTATGGATAAATTATGTTTGATGAAAGGGTTTTCTGAACATTAGTTTACTTTATAAGTATTATCTGTTTGTTTGAACATAGTACAAGTCACTCATTGAGTTATTTGAGTTCTAAGTAGTGAGTAGTTATGTAGTGAACAAAACACCGGTTGGGGACAATCGAATGTATTTTAACAAACATTACAGACTATCTCGGTAAATTCTGATAACCAAACAATGAACAGTCAATTTGCAAATTAACAACCAGTTGTTTCAATCTTCACTGTTTCTTCTCTAATTCCATTGCTCATGCATTTTCCAAACGATTGCGCTTCATTTCAGTTCTTTCCTCATCGGTCTTCTGCCAAAATACATTCTATGTCTGACCAACACCATATACTACTTATATAGATATAAATAGACCACATCACAGTTATAGCCTTCATGATATAAGGTAAGTTTGTGTGTAAATTACTTGAAATGATTGAGTGATTCTTGTAAATGATATCAAAGAATGGATTCGTAACTGCATGATACGAAACTGGTACATTTGCAGAACAGCTAATGTAATTAATCTATATTGTCTACTGCCAAATTATGCTGGAAGATGCTGTTGAATACTATCGAGAGGGGATCTCATTGATCTTAAAAATCAACCCAGTACTTCCACATGAGAAAATCATTACTCCACTGTATTTCTGTCTACTAATCGAACTAAAAGCTACATCTATAACTATTGACTTATCAGCATGAATAATGTGTCTTTCTTTGACCAGATCAGACTTTAAAATATATAATTACACAACTCCTTAGTACATATACAAGAACATTCTCTTAAAAATATCCCTCTCTGTTTTATCAATTTTTTTAGTGGCGTAGATCGATACAGGTAAAGTGTAAAAATGTAACTAGAGTTAAGTAGCAACTACCTTACATATTGAGTAAACTTTCTAAGTACTAATAGTAATGGTAATAAATCATTCATTTTGTTTCATTTTCAGATTGGTCTACCAAATGAAGTTATTAATCGATTAGTTGGAAGAATACATCGTCAAACTGATCATAAAGGTCCAATAAGTTTAAATTTATTTGATGAAGCAGTTAGGTTAACTTTCAATGAAATTTTACCATTTTGGGCTGGATTCAAAAAAAATATTTTATGTAAATCAGCCAGTACACAATCACGAATTCAGTCAACAATGAAATCAAACAACCAGCAAATACATGGAACACCTTGGCTGTCTAGTCCATTGAGTAGGTTTTTTTTTAGTGATTTGCATACCATAGTTTACTTACTTACTTACACCTGTTACTCCCAATGGAGCATAGGCCGCCGACCAGCATTCTACAACCCACTCTGCCCTAGGCATTCCTTTCTAGTTCTATCCAGTTTTTGTTCATTCTTCTCATGTCTGTCTCCGTTCTTTGGTCTTCCTCTTCTCCTTTGACCTTCAGGATTCCATGTGAGGGCTTGTCTTGTGACGCAGTTGGGTGACTTCCTCAACGTGTATCCAATCCACTTCCAGCGCTTCTTTCTGATTTCTTCCTCCTCTGGAATCTGGTTTGCTGTCTCTCACAGTAGCTTGTTGCTGATAGTGCCATACCATAGTTTGCGAGGGTTTATATTATAGAGATGAACTTAAGCGACTGATGAAATAGTTTGGAGAATTTTTGCCCTCCCTCTGATTTTCCAGACCAAGCTTCTGGATAATAATCTATAATTCTTTTCTTATAATTGGTGATGTGGCGCTAGAACCACCCAAAAATACAAAACAGATTCCCACTAGTTCCCACCATTAGTTTTTTGAAATTACTTGTAATTTTAGGGTCAAAAATAATTATCCACTAATACACGCTGTCTAGATTTCCTCAAAGTTTAGCAAAGTGGCTCGCAGTTAGCCATTGAGCAGCACGTCAATAGATCACTAGATCCTTCAAACTCATTGAAGCCAGACGTTCATAGCCGCTGTCTACAGATGATGAACATCTTTGTTATGGATAAATCGTTTAGTATTATCTCCACCGGTTACAGAAACTCTGTGCTGTTTATTTTCTCTGATCTAGAATGTTAACTATAAAAGATCCCGTAAACCCTAGAATTCTTGAATATTTTGTGTAAATGGTACATTCTTCAGTCACACCCTTGAATACTATGTACTAACATATCAAACTAATTCTCTTTCACTTTCTCAGCTTACAAGTATCATCAGGTATTAGAAAACCGTTTAAAATTACATCAAGATTGGCAGTTACCGTCAATAGAAGTACAACTTCCCAATATGCCACATGATAAGGAGATGAATTCTTTTACTTATTCAATACGAAAAGGTGTAGATTGGCAAAATGTTGGACATTAATCACCTAATATATCCGACTGTTTTACTTGCATCATGGTAACAAATTAGATTATCAGAATGACGTCTAAAATCGTTTCATATAACTGATATTTTTTATAAACAAAGTTATATTATAGATAATTAAGATAACCCATTGTGTCATCAAATAAAAATAGAGATAATTCAGCTATGAAAATTTTCCTTTCGACAAAATCATTTACTTAAGCTGCATATTCGTATTTATAGTTGTATAGTAACATTCACTTGTAAAAATATTCTGTCTTGGTATATTGATGACCTTTGTGACTAAAGGAAACTTAAAACTGTATAAAATTTATAAGTTCAAGATTCATGTAAACGATCTGAAAAATAAATTTGAGTCGCTTCTCCTGCTTACTTATCAAGAACACGTAGAAGGATTGGACTGAAAATATTAATGTATTCAAAGTGGAGTAGTACTAGAGTCATTCTTTACTACCTCATTGCCACACTCTTGGGTATTACCTTATGCCGTTGATTTTTGTTGAAAAGAATCAGCTGTACTTCTTCATTTCCGTTACTTTCCTGTGAAAAACACCCGAAACACATTTTAAAAACCTCGCCTAGAGCACTTCATGTGTAACTGCTGTTCCCAAGACTGAATGAAGGAGGAAAGTTGGATGCACGGTTATCAACCCCATATCGTAGAAAACAAACTTGAGAAAAAACATTAACCAGAATAAACAATTTAAACCATTTAAACTCTGTCCCGGGAGTTGAATGATCTTCATTCATAAGAATTATGACGCCTCATGATGAAAGCCAACATTCTTTTGAAGTCACGAGAATGACGTCCCTTCTAACAATCAGAGCAACAATTATATAGGGACATAGAATGTTCGGAAAATGTGGGTGATCGATAGGACCTATCAAATAGCTGCCGAAATAAGGATATACAACTTGGTGGTTCTTGGAATCAGTGAAGCATATTTGACCCAAGCTGTTCAACAATGGGTAGATAAGGGAGAGATGATTCTTTACTCCAGTCACGAAGAGGAAAGTTCTCCACAGACTCAGGGGGGTTTCTCTGGTGCTGTCCAAAGAAGCACGTAATTCACTTATAGGATAGGAATCTCATAAACCCAGAATCATCAAAGCAACTTTAAGAACAAAGAAGAAGGGGTCACAATGAATGTTACCTAGTGCTATTCACTTACCGACGATAGAAATGACGATGACAAAATCAGCCCTATGGAAGACTGCTGCCGATCATGACGCAGTGCTCAGGAAAGGACCTGATCATCCTGGTGAGAGACCTAAGTGCCAAAATAGTAGTGGACAACACCGGATATGTAGATATCATGGAACGACATGGACAAACTGGGAGAAAGTAACTAGAATGGTGACAGATTCGCAAATTTATGTGCATTCAACAAAAGTGTTATAGGAGGCGCGATATTCCCCACAAACACATACACAAAGCTACACGGATCTCACTGGATCACATCATGGAGAATCAGAAAGATCATATTTGCATCACTAAGAAATTCGGAAGGTCAATGGAATAATGTAGCGTTATGTGCCATGTTAGACCCACATAGTTTATTCTAGCTTCCGAGCAAGCCAATCTACTCATTCTTCTTAAACCACATTTTGACCTTGCCACTTAATCGTTAATTTATTCTGACTGTTTCCAGATGAGCGTATATGTGTACACATATTATCCTATTCATTAAATGTCTGTAGCTAATTTCTATCTGGCTATGAATATTGATTAATGCCTGATTAAATCCAATTAGGTTACTTGCCTTCTCCAATCTGAAATTATCTTCCCCCTTTGTTTCGTCTCCCTGATTGCCTGTTTAAGCATGAATTACAATGAACAGCCTGAATGCAATTAGACAATTTGAACTTTGATTATTCGACCTTTCTGTCCCATACACATCAACAAGTGCAGATGAAGATAACTAGTGTAGCAGAAGCCCCTACATCAGTAGATTTCAACATATACAAGGGAAAAGGCAGTTTCCTCAAATACAACACAGCAAGAACCAACCAAATCACACTTGGTGAAGAAACGCTGGAAGAGACGAAAACTTCCACGTACCTAGGTACCAGCATCATCGATTAACAAGAAGGATCCAATATAGACGTAAATGATAGAACTGACAAGGTAGGGACAGCAATCCTACAGTTGAAGAACATGAAATTCAAAATAACTGTCAACCAACATCGGAATCAGAATGTTCAACTCAAATATCAAGACAGTTCTGCTGTATGGAGCTGAAACTTCAAGAACTGCTACAACCATCATCGAAAGGTACAAGTATTTATAAACAATTGTCCACACATGATACTCACTATCCGTTGACCGAATACGATCAGAAACACCCTATTGTGGGAGGAAACAGATCAGCTTCCAACGGAAGAGGAAATTAGGAAAAGACGCTTGAGGTGAATAGTGCATGCATTGCGGAAATCATCAAGCTGCATCACGATTCAAGCCCTGACTTGTAGTCTTGAAGGGAAAAAGAAAGGAGTAAGACTAAGGAACACATTGCGCTGAGAACTCAAAGCAGACATGATAAGGATGAATATCAACTGGAAAGAACTGGAAAGGATTACCCAGGACAGAGTTGGATGGAGCATCCTGGTGGGCGGCCTGTACTCCTCAACGACGGGTGACAGGCTTATGTAAGTATGTATGTATGTGTGTATGTAGTTAGTAAAAATCCCTAACCATAAATGTACATTTCAACCGTTTGAACTCTGTCTCCGTAGTAAAAGTATTTTCATGCACAAGAGTTATGATGTTTCATGGTGAAGGATGAGATTCTTCAGAAAGCACGTGGCTGGTCTCCCTTATGACAACGTGGGTGACGATTAAAGTGGTGTGGTGTTTGTATGAACGAATTATTCTTTTGTACTTCATGACTACCTGATTTTTAATTCCAAATACAATACGTTCGTTCGTGCTCATCTGGTTCTTCTTGGTTAAATTGCTTTATTTCTGGGATTCTCAGTTCTTATGATAGTTCAAATACTTCTAATCATCACACGTAGGTATTTTGAATCCCCCTACAATCTGGAAAACCGGAAGGACCAGTCAAATAGCTGCGGAAATAAAAGGGTTATTATTAATAGCTTTATTCAATATTATATCTCGGTACAATATAGAATTCTCAGCACGAGGTATTTCAACAAGTTTCTTTTACAAAATAAAAGAAAAAAGTGAAACGATGTTTGAAGTTATACAATTTTTCAACTACGAACATGTTTAAGAACACAGGTTATTGACCAGGTTAATTCTAACAACCTGTTCGTCACGGAGTATATCTGCCAGATAATGTATTGTAGAGCTTTAAGCCTTCGCCTGCACGCATGGATTTAATTGTATTGACGTCTCGTCCTACCAGAAGATATACAAGGAGAAATATTTGAATGAATTGGATGGTTAGCATCTGATGCGATAACACTTGCTATAAGCTTGCAAGACTTTAGATGTCTAACCCTAACAATGACCTTAAAAGATTCACCACACTTCTTGCTACCCACCTTCAGCAATATCCTCAACACCGTAAAGTCTTTTCTCAAAAGCCCGATAAGGAATAACAGAGAACAGTAAGGAATAATAGGTAATATGCAAGAATTAACAAATTGTAAGAGTAAATGTTGAGTAATCCCGGTAGCATGTAACCTCTCTATATAGTAAGCCAGACGGAAAACTTTCTTCAGTAACAGTAAGACATAAGAAGACCAAGAGAGATCAGAGGAAAAGGTAACTCCAAGGTAATTGACAATCAACACTGTGTTTATCAAAGAATCTCCTATGGTACAAGCATTATGGGATCGTAACATGATGTTTAGTTGCTGTTCATGTCCCAGGCTAAAGTCAACAGCTTTACATTTAGACAGATTAATTATTAGACCATCAACATACCACTATTCAATACGAAACAAGAGCTCATTCATTTCTATGAGATGTAAAACGGTATATATACAGTGAGATCGTTCGCATATTTCACAAAAGTGTTTTCTGAAGAAGATGGCAGATCGTTCAGAAAAAAGAAATAGAAAACAAGATGGGAGTGAACAGCTCCTTGTGTCACACCTTCATGAGACAACCTAGAGGCGTCTGAGATGAGACCTGTTTAACGCAAAAACTAGCTTCGGGAGAGAGGCTTCTGTATACTGGTCACCAATAGAAGACTGCTTTACACATACAAGGAGTTGCACTGGTCCTCTCCAAAGAAGCACGATAAGGGTTTATAGGACATGGGTATATTGGATCCAAAATTGTCAAAAATACCTTCAAAGCAAAAATGGAAGTGGTTATAGTGAATGTCATCCAGTCCAACGTGCTACCAACGAAACAGTGGGGACGATAAAGATGGGTTGATGGGAGGTCGCAGTAGATAGTAGAGAAGTATCCAATAAAGCTTCCCGTTATCCTGGTGGGGACTTGAAGTTTACAACACTAGATATGAAGATATTATAGGGGGATGTGAACTGGTCGAAAGGAATGAGTGTGGTGAGAGATTTGTAAACCTATATGTTTTTAAAAAGTGGTTATAGGTGGCACCATATCCCTCCCTCCACAAACGCGCAAATAAAGCTATATGGGCTTCACCGGAACACACTACAGTGGACTGTTGATAACACTTGCATCCATTGAGGTCTAGAAGGTCAGTCGGACACGTGAACACAAATAGAGAAGGTGACATAGCTCCATATACCTCCTCAGTTGTGTCATGATAAAATTTATGTTAAAGAAGCACAGGACAACTGAAAAAAACAGCATTACAACAGTTTAATAGGGCCTTCACTTGAGATACTGCCAAACTCATACCTTTCCTAATTTATTTGAGCAATAGGTTCCAAGTCTTACAAGACGTACTAGAAAAAATAGCCATGGAAAACAAACGGAAAGAGAATACAGATCTAATGGCTTCAAAGTCCCAGGAGGTGATCAGCAAATGCACAGTCCGAATGCGCAGAAACAAACTGGCATAAAAATAGAAACTTTGGGACGAAGAGCAAAAATATGTAGAAAACCTAGCAATAGCAGTGGAAAAACTTCAAGAGAAGGAAATATGATGAAATCATATGATAAAACGAAGAGGCTGGCTGAACAATATAAACCAAGAAGAAAACTAATCACTGAAAATCAACATCAACGAAACAGATAGGCAGAACAATTTAAAGAGCTACTGAATCGATCAGTCCCTTTAAATTAACTGGAAAATGGAGCACAGTATATATACTGTCCAATAACTGATACTTCGCCAACAATCGGCAATATCACTACAATCGTCACACAAATCAGAAGCGTCGAAGCAGCAGGATCAGACTGCATGCCAGCGGAACCACACAAGTCAAACATAGAACTAACCACAAAGAGGCTGCACATTCAATTCAAAAAGATTTAGAAGAAAAAACAAGTACTAACAGACTGAAAAAATGATACCCTGTAGTGGTATTGGGTCGTAACCATACGATCTTCAAGGATGAGCGTATAATTACTGAGAAGATTTACATTTTATATGTAATGCTAAGAGAAGGTCAGGATGAGCAAGTCGGTAATTTTTAATCGAAATGGTAAGCCTCGTTTATGCAAGCGCGTTTATTCTAAATAACCTCTTACCTCTTGTTGTAAGATCCATTCCGAAGGTTTTGTGTGTGAAAATCCCTCCATGTATACATTTGCAACTTGTTTTTTATTAGTTTCTTTAGTTGTACATCTTGTTAATAACGGAGCGGTAATATTTGTTTGGGTAATAATGTACATTTATATTTCTGATGAAATTTAGAACCGTTATTTCTCCAATCACCTTGTTCTGATTTCAAAGGGGTAATAAAATGTATCTAAACTACCGAGACAGTTATTCTTCAGCAAAACCTTAGTTTGGATTTTACATTTGTACTAAATATATTATTCTCTTCCCAGTGTAAATGTGTTCATCAGAAGTGTTGCTGATTGTCACTATAAGACAAGCCAGTGTAGAGAATGATATGACTTCCACATAAGATCTTACAGATTATGTGGTCACACCATGACAAATCTACAATTTGGGGATTCTGTCTATTACTATAGCGAGAAAAATTTATTAATACCGAACTAGACCATAATATTACAGCCTCAACGAAAAACTATTAACAGGGAACCTTAATAAACGTGAGAACTGCAGAGGCAACACACTAAGGTCAGTACCATGAACAATTTTCAATTGAGTGTTGTTAAATCAAATGCAAGATTCGGTATGCTCTCAACTTCGGGATCATCAAAGTGGATTTCTTGAGAATCGATCGTGTACCGACCAAGTCACAACAATTCCAATCATTGCCGATCAATCAGTTGAATGGAACCAATCACTAAACATAGACTTCCATTATTATGAGAAGGCATTTTACAGTAGAGACAGGAGAACCTTATGAAACCTTCTTCGACACCATGGGCTAACTGAGAAGATTATCAAAATCATACGTAATTCCTACGACGGGCTACACTGCAAAGTCGTGAATGGAGGACAACGGAGAAATGCATCCACAGTGAAGGCTAGTCTTAGTCAAACAAGGTTGTCTACTCTCTCCTTTCCCGTTTCTTCTGGCTGTAACCTGGATCATGAGGACCTATACATCTCATGCTACGTATAAAACATAGTGCATATGTTGGACTCATTTAGGCAATTTGAACTCCTCAAATGATCCTGACATCCTATTCCACACTGACAGTGTGGCAGCAGTCTCTGCAACAGTCGACCCCAACAGACACAAGGGAGAATGTAACATCCCAGTACACAACACAGCCAGCACCAACGAGCCTCCACTCACCTAGACAGAACCATTCATTAACAAAGAGGATCCGATCCACATGTGACGGTATGAATCGGTAAAGCAAATGGAGAACAACTACAATCGAACAATATCACCAACAAAAACCAACCATTTGTCAGACAACACTGAACTCACAATTCACAAAACCAACATTGAAATAGTTCTGCCGTACTGATCTGAAACTTGCAGAACTACTACTATCATCACAGAAAATGTTCAGGTATTTATAAGCAACTGTGAACGGAAGATACAACATACCCATCGACCAGACATCATAAACAACAACCTACTATTTCATAGAACAAGATGTGAGTTGAGGAGGATATTAGATGGGAGACATGTACAATAACCATTAAGCATTATCACAAAGCAAGCCTTAAAATGGAATCCCGAATGGAAAGAGAAGGAAGAAAGACCAAATAACACATGAAACAAGGAATTTTAGGTAGATGTAAGAGCACGAACAGCACTTGAGAAGAACTATAAAGGAGAAAGTATTACAGAATTTGTTGGAGGATCCTGGTCTGTGACCTATTCTCCAAGAGTAGTAACAGGCGTAACTAAGTAAATAAGTATTCATCGTGACATGTTGCAACACATTATTCGTACTGCCTTCACTCTTCTCCCACACAGACATAAACTTCCCCAAATACATTACATCTAATATCAAAAGATTTTAGTTTACTAGCTTTGACTACTCATAAGTAGTATAAACTACATTTCATTTTTCTAAGACCATCTGAAAACTTGCAAAACCCGCTAGTAGAATTCTTTAGAAACTGACCAATATCTAAATTAAAAATCTGTCTTCAAATAGGAAAAAGATTACAAAGACTCAATTTCCATGCGCATTAAGATAAACAATCTTGTACTATTAGTCGTAATAATTGATAAAATAAATTGTAAATATATTGGAAATTCATTTTGTCGCTTAGGAATATTACTGGAAGTCCTGGGACTATGCAGATTGTGTGTGCTAGTTGCATATCATCATGGATTCCATTAGTTATCTAAAAAGATTTTGTAGCTGTGATGATTTCCGTACTGTATGGTCTTTCCATCTTCAGGTTCCTGCTCCCAGTGAAACCAGTTTCTCGATTGAAATATATAGAAAAAGAGAAGTTCTTAGAAACCTTATGACATTTTTAGAGAATCTGTTGTTTAAAAAAACTCTATCGAACACTGACAAATTAAGTATTTTGTAATATAGGGTTAGGTGCTTAGCGCTACTTCACGGATCTGTTGTAAATTTTCCACGACATAATGACTCCCCCATTATTGTGGCTTTCTGATCATAACTAGAATTAAGCGAAATAGCTTATTTATGACGGTTAATAAAAACAGTATTGTTTGTTGTCACTATGGTTGTTTAGGAAAAGAGAAAAGGTGGTCGGTTGATGACATTAATTTCCAAAATTTTGAATGGGTATTCCAACTTGGCGTGAGTCGGTCTACCACGAATTCCAAGACAAAGTAATGTAGATAGTTGATTCTAATGAGTTGAGATACCTGCTCAGCTGAAATTCTTTTTTGACCAGGGGTCGGGACAGACGGATGTTAAGGATTGTTCCGGAGAAATCCTCACAAATATTAATAACCTAGAGATCATTAGGCTCTCTGTATAACACACTTTACCGGAGTCGAGGGAGTTCAACTATACCTCACTCGAAAAACAAGTAGAACAGATTCAAGAGCAGATCGTATGACCGTAGCAAAACCTCTGCAATACCAAACCAATCATTATGGAACCAAAATGTCTGAGGTCAAAGTTATAAACAAACAAGTTCACGAAATCTGCAAGTTATTCCTCTCAGCAAGCAGTTCTGTAAATATGGGCATCCGATCTCGACATAGTTCTAATAAAATTAACTAACTGGAGTGACACAACCAACTATCGAAGTCGTTTAAGTGAGCGGTCTTGTCATCTTCACAAATTTAATCTTGGCTACCTTACCTTGGCCAACTTCCGTTTTTCACACCATTATTGTTCATCATTTCATCTACAGGAAGATGGGTGTGCGTATATCATCACGTTGTTTTAGGCTTGAATCTACGGTATTCCTATTACCTTGTGTCAAGTTTACCACATGTGTACACGATCTCAACTGGGATCTCAACTTCAGCATTGTGTCTCAATACCCTTGAAATGATATTGCTGTATTGGAAGAAAGTATGTGAAAATCTATCATAGAATTATTTGAACTTGGGGTCAATCATATTCCAATAGCCTCTAAAAACTTGAGTGACAACTCGTACGTTACACAATGACAAGAAAGAATGTGATCACTAAAAAAGTGTCACTCAAAGCTGCCTCATGCTGACAGGTTACTTGTATGTATTGGATCAAAACTCTACACACTGAATTAAATCGTAAAAATGTAAATGCCGACCTTGCTGTAACAAGAGCCATGATCCGTAAAACAGGCTCATCACAGCTGTCTAGGAGAGATGTAAGTTGACTCCATCGTTTACAGATCACACACTTTGTAGCCAGTCACAGTAATCTACCCACTACATTTCTTAGCTTCTGGATTATTGAAAAAGTCCCATTATCCTAAAATCTATTACAAAGTTCGCATATTTCACAAATGAAACATTGTACATGTTGTTTCTACATGAGAAAAATTGAGGAATGAACAAAAGTTGTCGTTGTTGTTTACATTTAAACCCGGCGTTTTAAAATGCCAGAACCACTTTGGGAAATTGCAATACAGCAAAATAGGACTAAGTCAGGTACTCGTCCATAGTCTACTCTCTCTACTAATAAAAAAGTACAAATAGGCACAGAAAATACATTAATTTTTGCTGGGAACAAAGGATCAGTAAGAATAATTAATTAGCATATTTGTTAATGTTTTCATCCCTTTACAGGGGAAAAGTACAATTATCAACCGATTTCTCGAAAAAGATGAAACCCCTAAGTCTACTCTAGCTCTTGACTATACTTTTGGACGGAAAGGTGCAGGGAATTATCATGTTAGGTTTTTGTGAACTTATTTGTGACTTAGTAGACTCGAGTTGTGTCGCATATATGGGAGCTAGGGGGTGGTGTAAAACTTTCAGATCTAATCGGTGTTGTAATGACACCCAATAACATTTTGTTTGTTGCTTTTAAATTACTTACTAGCCCCTTCTATCACTTGAAGGAATCTTCACCTTATTTTAGTTATTGATCTATCCAAACCAGAGGAACTTTGGGATACGGTGGAGACTTTGTTGAAGTCAGCTTCTGCCCGCGTTGATCAGATTCTAAACCGTCTACACCAAAAAAACATAACGCGCATCCAAAATATTTTTAGTGAAAAGTCTAGAAACCGAATTTCATCAACACATCCTGACACAGAACTATTGAATCCCTTTCCTTTGCCCCTCACATTCTTGGGGACAAAACATGACCTTTTGATGGTATAAAATGATTTCATATTGAATTTTTTTAGACCCGAGACGCTGAACAGCAGAATCTAATTTGCAAAACAATCCGCTTTCTCAGCCACTATTACGGAGCATCTATTTATGTGTGTAAGCTCGGAATGTTTTTTCAATATTCTACAGTTTTCCTCCACTAAAGAAGATGGGGTACTTAAAAGGATAAGAGCTGTTCTCAATCACATCGCTTTCAATGGCAAGGACTTATCCAACGTCCAGATGGAAACAGGAAAGCCGTTGGCTATCCCAGTTGGTGTCGACTCATTCTCAAATATCGGTAATCATTACTTGGTCAGCTTTGTAATTTTTTGGTTACTAAGCGTTTGCAAATGTGTCTTGGTACGAAAACCAAATGAACAACTGTCGTAAGAAATAAAATGCCAATAATTGATTTCATTCCATGTCAAATGTTTATGATACTGGTTGATTGTATTCATACTAAAAACCCCTTAGATATTGTACCGCTAAAATAGAAATTCTGTGAAATTTCAGTCCATATTGATTAGTGGTGAGGCTATGATTTATGGACGACCTTTTGTTACGCCAGTGACCCTGAAACAAACAATTATTAAGCTGGTAAAAATTTATACAATTATGTATAAATATTTAGGCCTCAAATGTAAAACAAAAATCGAACAGAAATTATGAGTACAAACAGATTGAAAATGATGTATCACAGATTTCATGAATAAACAAGGTAAAAGTATAATATGCCAATGACTTTGGGTTACTTATCAGCTACTCAGGAAACATGGTCTAGTTATAAAACAATTAACGATGCAAAGTAATGAAATAACAGTGGAATAACAGCTTTATCGTAATAATTAACGCTCACAAGTCAAATTATGCCTCCTAGTGAAGACAAAAGGGCAGATTTACATATACACATACATACCAGAAGTTGGTCTGGTATTTTGAGTTGGGATCACCCTATAGAGTTCTCTTCATCAACTGGCATCAGTTATAGTGCAAAGAGGTTAGGGTTATGTATTAAGAGTTAAACATGACTTTTTTGGGGGTTACAAATCGGAGTTAACGTTTTCGATACAAACTGACACCAGCTATAATGTAATGCCTTGCCACCTTTCTGTGTACAAACTCGAGAAATTTTGGGGTTGAGATTTAGAGTGGAAGTAGGAAAGGGGGAACACTATCTAGATTCACTAAATACTTAGTTACTCAGTGAACGACACTAAGTACTTTGACGCAATCTGTGATGTAATTTAGCTCAAGCATGCTTATTGGAATCAGACAATGGTAGTTTTTCTCGACTTAAAGGCAGCATTTAACTCTGTAGATCGAGGGGTTCTGTGGCAGTGTTTATCTTTGAAAGGTGTGTCTCAGAAGTACATAAACCTTGTGAAGGCTCTTTACGCGAACACTACCAGTCAAGTGAGAGCTTATGGCGAACTGTCAAATGATTTTACATCCTCAAGTGGTGTCCGACAAGGCTGTCCACCATCCCCATTTTTGTTTAAATTCATCATAGACCTACTTCTGGAAATAACACTCTCGTCGACTGAATTTTCGGGAATTGATCTCCTACCAGGAGGTCTACTTAGAGTACACAGATGACATGGTCCCGTTTGGTGAAGACGCTGACAAAATGCAGGGTCTTTTGCTAGCACTGAGTAACAATGCCAAGATATTTTGAATGAGTTTTCCACCTCTAAATATTAGTTGTTACTCCAGGACTAGCCTGCGCCAACACCTGGACTAAGGATAGGGAGTGAAGTAGTTGGACGCGTCAACAACTTATCTTGAATGTCTGATCAACCCTATTGGGTTGGTGTCTAACGAAATCTCTACACGGACACAGAAAGCTCGTTTGGCTTTTGCAAAACTTATGTCACCTACGGCGAAAGCGAGATATCCATCTACCAATTAAGGGACGAGTATACCGCGCGACAGTTTGCTCTGTTCTACTTTACGTCTGTGAAACATGGCCATTAAGAGTAGAAGATACTCGTAAGGTACTAGTATTTGATCACAGATGTCTCAGAAATATTGCTCACATCTGCTGGGATCACCGGGTTATTAATAGTGAAGTTAGACACAGAGTATTAGGGAATGATGGTAAATCGGTTGAAGAGATTGTGAATCTTCATATACTGGGTTAGTTGGGCCACATATTAAGTATGCCTAACCACCGATTACCACGACATGCAATCCTGACTAGTGTTGTGGATGGTTGGAAGGAAGCTAGGGGCGGCCAAACCAAAACATGGCATCAGTGCTTGAAGTCACTAACTTCTAGTCTGAGCCATGTTGGTAGATGCAGATTACTTGGTTGGGGTCCGCGTGACTATCGTAACCAATGGTTGGAGACTCTGGTTGACATGGCTCAGAATCTATCACAGTGGTGTAAGTGTATACACTCTTTGTCTTCCCTTAAACTAAAAAATTAAAGTTGATTCATATCTTTCTTTCTTCCTGGACTATATTCTTATATACAATCTTTCTTCTATGTATTGCTACCATTGAAGTTTGCTGCTTCGATGAATTTGGTGTTCATCTTGTTGTGCTAATGAGATATGGCTACTTGGACCAATACATGTGTGTGTTTGTTCCTACGTTGTAGCTGATTGACTGAGCTTAAGCACTATCTAAAATCCACTTTATCGTTGTATAATAGATATTTTCATTGATTTTAAACATTTTGAGAACTAAATAGTTTTTTTAGTTTTCAGTTTAAATGAAATCTATTCAGTGCACTTTAAAATTCACACAAAATAATTGGGGTGTTATTTTAATTCTGATCGGTTAGCTAAATACCGGCAAAATATCATGCTCTTATTGTAAATGATAAATTTTCAAGTAAATAATCCTTAAATTATTCATTTATTTATGTAAAACCAATATACAAGAGACATGAGTTTTAAAAAATCCTTAAATATACATAAATAACAAGTAGTGTTTAAAATGCCTCCAAATGCCCTGGTACAGCCGAGAGTGGGGAGAGTCCGCTCTCCCTCTCCAAATACTATCACATGGCACGCGTATATAGCCTCTGCCAGGAAAGTCCTAATCACTACCTTCTCGTGGCATTACTGTTGTTTACGAAGTTGAGAGGATGAAAAGCGAATGTCCGACGCTCTAACCGGGTTGGTGGACACGGAAAGTTCACCTAGGGGAGTTGGAAAACCCTGATTCCAAACCAATGGTGCACATGGGCTGGCTCCAGTATCCTGAGGGAACAAATGGCGTGTGAATCATTTGTTGGTCACCATCTACCATGGGACTGCATCTCCTTACGATGCTAGACTGCCTTGTGGATCAGATCTTTAGGTCAAAGGCTCGGGGTGTGGCCCCCTATGAAAACCACCTGTTTCAGTTTGGGTACCTGGGCAGTATCACAGCCCTCACACAAATCTCATTTGATTTGTGTGGCGCATATGTATCTGGTGCCCCTTCGTACCAATATTTATGTGTTTAAATAAAATATAATATAAAGTGTTTAAAATTTTCAAAATAATAGTATGTAAATGCAAGTCTAAATATTCTCTACTACTGGTTTATTATATTGTATCCCTGTAAAATACACTTACAAACTAAATCATAATTCTTGTGAAAATTTTTTTTATAAATTTCAGGAACACCACCAAATGCAAATTTGGAAATAGGACGTCTTACTGCTAAATCTCCATTAGAGATGTGGAAAAATATTTTTTGTAGTAAATTTCCTCAGGTAAGATTTTATTTTCAGAAGGGGATTTTGTGGAGATTTTAGTAATTTTGTACTTGAAGTCATGATTCGATTAAAGCTAGACCACTATGGTAAACCTGGAAGGACGAAACGGCTGTCCAGTGCTTCCAGGTTTTCTAGGGTGGTCTAGCTTTAATTGACTCATGATTTCAACTATAAGATTTTATTTCCAACGTTGAACACCTAAAAAACTAACTTAATAATGTTAATTATATTCACATTGATATCCACAAAATATACAACAAAGTAACTTGTCTAGTTAGATATAATTTAAACCGGTGAGCAACGTTTCATTTATATAATGCTGAGTTTATCATTGATTCAACTCCGCCTATAGCTCCTACGGGGGCTACTGCCGGTCCCAAGCACGGGTAAAGGAGGAGGGTTGGGCATGGGGTTAGCGACCCCATCCCGTAGAAAACCAACTCGCTAAAAAATACTCTAACCAGAAAATTATCATTGATTCGCTCTATCGAATTTAATATAAAAACTATAACTAGTCATATTTATTTAAACCCAGTCGGTACATGTGAGCTGATCTTACTTACTTACTTACACCTGTTACTCCCAATGGAGCAAAGGCTGCCGACCAGCATTGTCCAACCCACTCTGTCCTTGGCCTTCCTTTCTAGTTCTATCCAACTTTTGTTCATCCTCATGCTAATTGACACTCATCAGTGAAGTGTAGCCGTAATCATGAGAGAACTGATGCTGACTGCATCACTCAGTTTCACAACCTCAGATGTTATTACTAATCTGATGGTAACACACTATATATATATATATATATATATATATATATATATATATATATTATAGCGATTTCACTGACAAACGTTTTCCAAAATATATTTCTAATTGAAATGGTTAGTCGAATTTCCAGATTAATTATCACCATTGTGTTACAAAATCCCTATTAGACCAGCCGGAAAACTGAGTAACATCACTCATCAATTAATTGTGTATATTACTTATCAGCATCAATTATCTTGTCTCACTTATAAGTTTAAGTCTAGATCTCTCAAAAAGTACTTTTTCAGGGAATTTCCATGATACTGGAAGTTTGTTAGACATAGTTTTTAACACCTTTCTTTTTGTATTATGATTATCACACTGCTTTATTCTCAATTATATGCAACAAATAACTGATACATACCATGATGCTTTAATGTAGATTATCTAAATACGATCACTCGCTCGTCGATATAAAACAAGTGAAACTTTAAGGCTTAAGATATAGCTCATCCAAAAAATACATGTAACGTGACATTCAGTTAAATCTGCAGGTTACAACTAATCACCTTCAAAATGAACAATGGTCGTAAGATACTTGAGTAGAATAATCTGGAAATAATTAATGGATTTCAATAGTGTTATATCGATTGCGTACGTGCCCTGTTTGATATATGAAGGGAGTGAATTATCGATTAGAGTAATGATACACAAAAGCCGTATGAGCAGTCATGAGTACTTGTCAGTCCTGATATCTGCCTACCCCAACCAGTTAAGTCCAGAACACCAATAACAGCCTCTGCAATATGAATCATTATATTTCAAACATACTGAGTTTATATACCAATCAAACTGACAACATCGTACCATAAAATAGAAAATAACATTTGTACAAGATTTGGCCAAATGTGGCTGTGAACAGTAATTAATGGACTAAGGATAACTCAAGAATAGTAAACCGTTTAGTAATAGTTCATAGATCAAAATAAAGCTTATAATAAGGGAAATATGAATAGTTGAGTTACTTAACAATTATACAATAGGAAAAATACATATCATATTGATCCATAAATAATCCTCAAAGTTACCATTCATAATTCTCCACGGGATATAACAAAAGTTGACAACAAATATAATTGTTTTCAATTCCTTTTTTCATCCCCCCTACCCCCCCACATTATTTTTTTCTTTTACTAACCCTCTGGGACATTAGATAAAATTTGGACTTTGACCATGAATAATCATCATTTACCACTTATATAACTCCTTATACTACATCTTAGCCAACCTAAAAATACCATGAGAAAAATGCTAAATAGATCATGGTAATTGGTCTAACAATATTATGTAAACTTATACCTCATTAAGCAATAGCCAATGACTAACATACACTTACATCATCTTCAAATTGTATCCTATGAAATTATGTCATAGATTCGATAAGAAGATTATTTATTTTCTTCTCTTACTATAACTAACTCCCTTCTCTAATATTATTCTTCAATTTTAGAAATCTGGATTAGCATTCTCTTTAAATAATATAACAAATCATTTAATAGATCCAAGTAAAGATCCTCAATATTCTGAACCACTTATTGATACTGCACGAAAAGTAAAAGATGAAGAATTAGAAAGTAAACGACGTCAAAGTGAACGACATATGTTGAATTTATTACAACAAATTACTTCAGAAGGATTAATTATTGTTTAAATCTACCTATGAGTGTACATGTGTGCATGTTGCCTTGATTTTATTTTAGTAAACTAACATACAAAACAAAAGAGGTAATTGTCTTCAGATGAATATGATCGTTATACAGTTCTATTTTTTTTGGTTTACTATACCTTGAATTTTGCAAAATTAAATGTTGTCCTAATCAAATATTTCTAAATGAATGAAGTTATAATTCCTGTTTTGTTAAGGTA